AAGATAAATGTCACGGGGCCTCAACGCCTGCATGAAGCTCAACCTCACCACGTACGAACCAGACTACAAGGCCATCAGCAAAACCATGCAGCACCAGAAGTCGCATTAAAAGTGATACATATTTAATGTATTATACGTTAAAAATACTATATGGCTCTCAATGCAATATATTTAGAAATATTTGGCTTTTATGGCTCTCCCAGTCAAAAAGGTTCCCGACCCCTGCACTAGTGGGTTCCAGTGGCCTCCCAATGAGGTCTTCCGTGACCCTTGCCCCAGTTCCTCCGCCCTGCCGGCACACAGCTGTGTATATGTTCAACGGCGCGTGCGCTAACTTGTCCTCCGCAGTTGCCGCTGCTGGACAGTAGTCGGCGTTGTGTCACAACAAAAGTATGAAAAGTTATCAGATGGAGTCCACATTTTGCTGTACTGCCTGCTTCTGGCAAGCCAGGGTATGGCAGCTCGACGCTGACGGGAAGGGTGTTGTGCAACATTTGAGTGAGCCACCAATTATTTCCTCCACAGTAGATGTACTGGATGACAGGCATGCATAGCCACCACCGATATTTTATTCATACAATCTCAGTGTAGTGTCTCTGCGGCCGTCTGGAATGCTCTTCCTTCCGATATTAGGAAGCCACTGGAGCTATGCACTTTTAAAATCACCCAGATTGAAAACACGTTTCTTAAGAACTGCTTTTTGTGTTTCTTATTTTGTCCTTCCCCTGCACCTCTGATTCGCAAGGATACGTAACGGTGCGAACGAAGTTACACGTACATACATTCTCGACACTTCTACTGCTGCAGTTGAGGAATCTGCAGACCCGGATATTTGAGATGTGATGCGTCTATTGCTGCAGTCGAGGCAGCTCTTGCACTTTGTAAACTACACCGTCAATGCGAGCGTCCACCGAACATCACACAAAGTGCTTGCCACAAATGCTTTTCTTCCCAACTTGTTTGTGATCACGAACTTCGGTGAATGTGTGGAAATTTTAGAAACGTTCACGACTCTGGAAAACCATCACGCATTTCCCATTCACGCAATTTACAAGCACATTGTTGTATATTAATTTTCTGAACCTACAGTGTACACGTTTTTTTTTTATTACACTTGGGCTGCTTGACAATGATAGGTAAAACGAATGTCAAACTATTTTACTCAATTTTAAGATCTGTAACAAATAAAGGTGGACTCATTTCGTGTCTTCATGGAAGCCTGCGTACTGTATATTGGTGGACCTCAAAGTGCTAATCCCATCTAAAACGTTACACTCCATGCAGTAAGAACTAGTCAGCTCTCAATTTTCCAGGGGCAATAGGGGAGGTGTGGTCAGGATAAAAAAACTAATTCAAAACGTGAAGACATTTTTATTTAGGCTATAAAAGCATGTGTTTCGCACCTCTGATTAGCACGGTGCGAAAAAAGTTCAACATACATAAATACTGTACACCCATCCGTACATTGTGGGTGAAGACATATGTAATCTACGTGGCATTGCTTCTTATAAACGAAAAGGTTTGTTTGCCAACTTTTTTGTGATCACGTGGGCGCTGAACAACTGACCCTCAGAAAGTTGATGAGCGACTAATACTTAAGCCAGTGTGTGAAGAAAGATCATTCAAATATTTTTTTTCTCCACCATGGATAATCCACAACTATAGGATAATCCGCCCAGGGATTATAATGTTCGAATTTACATTTCAATTGACAGATTTTCCTGGAGTTGACCTCCTGCGGGCAACTCCACGATCGTTGCCATGAGCACAACCTTTTGTCCGAAGTGGGGCCACCACTGCCGGTCGACTGGTTCCGGCCATGGGAACGTGCAATTTCCACGAGGGTTTCCACGACTCAAGGCTGCCAAGAGAGATGACCACCGCGCATGTTTGATAAGAGTATTTTTCGGAATCATCCGAATCATTTCGCGACAAGGCACGGTGACGCATCACTTCCTTTTTCGGAACTCCGTCTCGGACACTTTTGAGCCGACGTCATGTCAGAGAATGCCCTCAAGATGACATCACGGACGGGATGCCAGCTTCAAGAGGTTCTGTTCTGGGAAATGTAAATGGAAACACATTTACAATATAATGTAGTTTTGTTTTTACGCATACAGTATTTTCTTATCGAGAGGATTTTGTCCAAAATTAGTTTCCACTTAGAAAATGTTGGCAACAATTATTGCATTGCTGAGTTGGCTAACTGAAGGAATGGGGCAGAGCAAACCCGCATAGATTAATTGGCCAACGTAAAATCTAAGACTATAAAAATTATCCTTATGAATGATGCGCGTAAGAGGATCATGGATGTGAATTTCACATTGACGACCGAAGTTTTGATTTCTGTACGTTGGACATGATGGTTTGTACAAACCCCAGAGGTGGGACAAAGTCATTGTTATGCAAGTCCAAGTCGAGTCTGAAGTCATCAAATTCATGACTCGAGTCTGACTCGAGTCCAAGTCACATGACTCGAGTCCACACCTCAGAGGTGGGACAAAGTCATTGTTATGCAAGTCCAAGTCGAGTCTGAAGTCATCAAATTCATGACTCGAGTCTGACTCGAGTCCAAGTCACATGACTCGAGTCCACACCTCAGAGGTGGGACAAAGTCATTGTTATGCAAGTCCAAGTCGAGTCTGAAGTCATCAAATTCATGACTCGAGTCTGACTCGAGTCCAAGTCACATGACTCGAGTCCACACCTCTGACAAACCCTGTGGCACCACGATACGCATTGCTAAATATAATTGATTCCTGAGTGCTCAGTGAATTCGTGGCAATGTGATGATCGATATATGCAGCATACAATATAATTATTAATAGGAATCTAACGATCATCCCTCATGCCTCTCTGTCAGATTCACGTAACACTTTCGTTTTCAGTAATTTATTTCGGCCCCCGTTTGTAATCGATATATTTTACACATGATTGATTATTGCACCCACGACTCTTTGCATCCACTGCGAGCGTGAGAATCAATACTTAGAGATGAATGTACGTAACGTTTCATTTCCTTGTGAGTAATTGTCTTCGTTCGTTATTGATACCCAGTTAACATGGCAACGGGGGAATTTATCAAGCGGGGATGTTATTGATGTTATTGATTTTCCTTCTTGAAATTCGATTAAAATTTGAGATTCAATTCAGTACAATAATACCCCGGTTTACGCGTTTATGAAAGGTGCGACAACGAATAACAACGTAAATGAAATGTGTTTCTTTCTCTGTCTCCCCGAGTTAAACAAAGACAACGAAGGGATTGGTGAAGGAGGCGCGCATCTTCATCCGAGACGGACCCAAAACGTCACCATTACATTACTAAAATACTGTACTCAACACTAGTGTACAGCAAGTACAACTTTAACACGCGTTATACTGAGCACAATAAGATACAGGACACTATAAAACTAAATCATAAAAAGTACTGCACGTAAATAATACAGGAAACTCTACAGTACATTTATTTATAGGCGACGCAAAGTTCAAGTTCATTTATTAGGTATAGCCCTGTGAGCCATTCGGCTCTTGAATCGGGTGCAACCGCAACAAACAAAAAAATGAACAAAAAACATCTTAAAGTGAATATGTGACTGAGTGCAAACACAAAATCCAAGAAAAGACAGCAAAATATTGCAGAAAAAGCACCGTACACCAAAAATCCCAGTGGGATGCAAGTCAAACAACAACAACCACAAAACAACTTAGATTATGGCCATCAGTCTAACTCTGTACTACAACAAACAAACATGGCTAAACCAATACACTTATCGAAATCACCAAAATAAAGCCATGAAAGCAATGAAACAGTGATCATAGGAACTGTGACGGAATATTCACAATAAATGGCATAAACAACATGTACTACCAAAATCCTGCAGTACCCCAGGCGGAGGCGACGGATGATTGTGAGTTCCACTAAACGTTGAAACGCCCTAATTGTATTACGAGCAGCAAAACTGCACGAACTCTTTCTACTGAAGACCCCTCGTGGCTCGCAGGATCTAGACTTTGGCATCTTAACCACCGTGCATTATAACAGTCGCCCCTTCCCATTAATCAGGACCTCAATAAGGGGCCGTCCATAAATGACGTCCGTCCGTCGTGCAGGGTGGTGCTGGGTGGGGTGGGGCTGGGTGGGGAGGGGAGGGTGGGAAGGGGCTGGGTGGGGAGGGGCTGGGTGGGGAGGGGCTGGGTGGGGAGGGGAGGGTGGGGAGGGGCTGGGTGGGGAGGGGAGGGTGGGGCTGGGTGGTGAGGGGAGGGTGGGGCTGGGTGGTGAGGGGCTGGGTGGGAGGGCGTGGTGCTGGGTGGGGAGGGGCTGGGTGGAGAGGGGCTGGGTGGGGAGGGGAGGGTGGGGCTGGGTGGTGAGGGGCTGGGTGGGAGGGCGTGGTGCTGGGTGGGGAGGGGCTGGGTGGAGAGGGGCTGGGTGGGGAGGGGAGGGTGGGGCTGGGTGGTGAGGGGCTGGGTGGGAGGGGTGGGGCTGGGTGGGGGTGGGAGGTGTGGGGCTGGGTGGGGAGGGGCTGGTCACCCCGTGGTGCCCTTATAAAACTCAACGTTTAACCTACTCACGCCGGCTTGTGCCCGCCCTCACAGTCGGGCATATTTGTGGAATACACCACGCCGCCGTTGACTCTGCAGGCCATTGACCGAGCAACCCAACGTTCCTACCAGCTCCCTCCGCAGGAATGTGTTACAATTTGGCGTTTCGCTTGTAATTACATCAACCGGCATCATCGGGGACATTTTCCGCAATTGTGAAGAGATTCACCTGCTTCCGATCGTGCTAAAATGAGTAAACGCAAGACTTGAGGCCAAACCCATTCAAGCAAAACACTAGCGACGATAATCGCGAAATCGCGATATCGTGATATCGCGATATACCGCAACGACGACGATAATCGCGGCTCTGGCGTTGCACGATATATCGCTGAATCCACTTCCGGCGGAAGCGGATCCGAGGGGGTGTGGAGCGGATCCCGCACTCTGGGCCCGAGGCCCCCCCCTTGCCTGGAGGCCTCTGCCCGGGAAGCGCCGCCTGCCTCCCGCAGCCGAGCCGTGCCCACACCGCTGGGAGCACGCGCGCCTCGGACTCAGTTGCCCCTCCCGAGTGTCCACACCCCTCTTCCCCTCCCCCCCCTTGCACTGACTGCTGCTTCTCGCTACTGTGAGTACACAACCTCGGTGGTTGACGAGGAGATTAGTGATGATGTTTGCGAGGTTGGTTGGGTTGGTGGTGAGCGGCATGATGTTGTGAGCTTGATCATGCCCGGGGTTGTTGTTGTTGGTGGTGGTGGTGGTAGTCCATGAAGAAGACGTCTCTCTGTTTGCTTAACCATGGCGAGTCTTTTCAAGGCTCACCATAGCCTTTAAATGTAGTCACGCTCATGACTTCCCGTGCCTTTATTAACTTCGCCATTCGTAAACTCGCCTGTCGTAATCTTTAGCAGTTCGTGCGCACGAGTGGCGGATGCTTCAGAAGTTCATGTTGGGATAGTGACTTTTAATTTCTTCCGAGTTTCCGCGCCTTCGTTACTCAATCGCTACTATTAGGTAACTATTCGTATGCCAATTTAAAACAAACTGGTCATTAGAAATAATTTTATATTCAGTTCGCCTTTAGACAACTTTTGTGATCCACTTATATCTATATGTAGCCTCTCCCATGTATGTGCTATGAAGAAGGACCATTGCCCAAAACGTCGTCTATTATATAAACAGTATACATTTTTTTCTGTTGTGGCAGTGCAATTGAAGAATGCGTTGAGTTTCTCGGTTCCATAGCAGTTCGTGGGTCTTCATTGTCGTACATGTCATTAAGATAGTTGCTTAGCAGCTGGTGTGCCTACATAACAACAATAGTGTCACCACACGCGCTTGTGCCAGGCTACGTGCACTTTACGGCCACCTGAATTGTCGAAGGCTCGCTGATATGAAGAGGTCACGGGACAGACCCAGGTGCCATGTGTTGACTGACTGAGTTGACTGGCAAGAGGGCCTCACCTGTGCCCCCTACTGTGCCAACTTGCTGTGCTTTAGCCAACAGGCGCTCTGCTCGTTGTTGTGAACGATTTACAGTTGTGTCATTGATGTCACTGGAGCTTTGGTGTTGCTGTGATGAGTGAGTGAGTGTTTGAGCATCATTAAGTTCATCATCATTTGTCATCAACGTCAGCACCATCATCTTGGGTGCCGCGGTGGCAACATTTTAACTCCCTCGCCTGGTATGCGGGGGGGTCGTAGGTTCAATCACGACCCTGACACTTATATATTTGGATATTTCATGTTCTCCCCGTGGTTGCATGGATTTTTCTCTGGGTCCTCTGGTTTTTATTAATTTCCACGTGATGATAAGCCACTTCGTTGAGCTATCGTTTGTGATAGCAAGGTTGCTTCTGTAAAAGAGCTGTATAAGCTCAGCGGGCCTTACCTGGTCAAATAAAAATAAGGTCAATAGTTTAATCTTCAATAGTGGCGTCGCCATGATGACAAGTGAGCATTTCTGCTGAGACGGGGTTGGGTGAAGGTTGTCCAGGTGGTGGTGTACAGTGTGAATGAATTGTTGACTTTTGCACGGGGCACTTTATTTAGACTGGCACACTCACGCGTGTTTAAGAGGACCTTTCGATGTGAATGTCTTTAATAGTTTAGTGAAAATAGAGATGTTTTTTTCAAGTTACTTGTGCGATTTTTATTTTGATCTCACACCCCCCCCCCCCAAATCACCACACTTCCCACATCATCACATGTCACTAAATCTAGATTGGAAACTCATTTATTTTAAATAGCTATTTGTGATGTAAAGCTTTCGTGACTGCAGGGATTCATATTATTGGTTCTTTCAGTGAAGTCACGTAGAAGGGAAATAATAAAATAATATAAATATAAAACAATAACAATTATCACGACGTTTCGACTGCAACACAAGCAATCATCATCAGGTGTAAAATCCACAGAAAATCCACAGAAATACATTTTTCTTTCTGTGGATTTCACACCTGATGATGATTGCTTGTGTTGCAGTAGAAACGTCGTGATAATTTTTGTTTTATATTTATATTTTATTATTTCCCTTCTACGGGACTTTACCGAAAGAACCAAGAATATAGCTATTTGTGTTTAGTTTGTTGACCTTTCCCCCTGCACCTCCCATTAACACGGTTGGCCATGTATGGTGCGAAAGAAGTTCAACAATACTAAAATCTCCCCTCCACTTCCTCGCGTTCTCCCTCCCAAGCCTGCCCTTCATCACGCTTCAGCAGCCACGGCAAGAAACACTGTTGTCTGCACTTCTTCAAGGGAGAAAGTGCAAAATTACACAAACCCTGCCCCGAAGCCTTCTTGTGGCGAACCTACCTCGACATTGGTATTTACATCTTTAACATATTGCTGCCATACGCATAAATAAAATTGCTCACGTAATATGCACATCCCCCCCACCCCCTTGGTCACAGGGGACAACGTGTTCTGTGGCTGTAATAGTTGGTAAATGTGTGTCACCAATTGGGGGCCATAAGGCAGCATAATACACATTTCTGTCACTCCACAGGCTGCAACACTACCACCAGCGACCTACGAGGAGGGTAGTGCAAGCCCTTTTTGTTAGCACCGTGCGTAGCCAATCGTTCTAATCCAAGGTGCTGGAGAAGGACAACAAACTAAATACAAAATCAATTATGAAGAAATTAGTTTTCATTGCATAGCTCCAGTGGCTTCCTAATATCACAAGGATGAGCGTTCCATACGGCCACAGAAGCGCATTTGAATGCGTGCGATGCGGCGGTGACCGTCTTTGTTCGATGGATAGGCAAAAGCTGCTGCGTGGACGATGGGAGATCGCGTGATGGTTTATGCTCCTTCGCGAGATCACCAAGTTATTGCGGTTGATTTGTGGGAAGGACTTTGTGTGTAATGAGTGCTTAGAGCAGTGAGTTCAACTCCTCTGCAACATGGCTCCAGTTTTTGTGAGACATCGACTTCAAAAATGTTTCTCCTTCTGTTCAAAGGACTCATGCCTCTTGTTGATTCTTTGATTCCATCTCTTTAATGGCCTGCTAGCTATACCCTTTGTCCACAATTCTGGGTGGGGAGGGGCTGGGTAGGGAGGGGCTGGGTAGGAAATGTGGGGAGGGGCTGGGTGGGGAGGGTCGGGCTGGGTGGGAAGGGGCTGGTCACCCCGTGCCCCACCCTCACAGTCGCCCATATTTGCGGAATACACCACGCCGCCGTTAACCCTGGCAATTGACCGAGCAACCCAACGTTCCTACCAGCTCCCTCCGTAGGAATGTGTTTTGTAATTCTTTGAAGCATAATTTTCACAATTGAGGCATTTCATTGTTATGTAAACATTTACTGAATACTAATTTTGAGCTTTGATTTTGTCCATTTTTTATTTATTCAAGTCCAGAAACATTATTTTTTTATACTGTGAAGAGAATGCGTCACTTATTCAGACATAACATCTGGGACGTCCTCATGTGAATGTTGTTTTTTGTATCCTGGGGTATATGATGTTTTTGCTGGACAGGTATGCATATGATTTGTGATTTCGTCTTGGTCGTGTTATGGTTTTGCATTGTAGGTTTTCTAGTTGGAATCATGATAGTTGGAATCATTGAGGGGAGAACAGGAGAGAACCCCCCACACGTTTAAACGGTGGTTTTTGTATTACAGAGGGATATTTGAATGGGGTCCTTTTGGTTTTTTGTGGCAATCAAACAACATTCTTGGATTCAGAAGTACTTCAAATCAGATTCAGGAGCTCTTTTTTACAGATATCCAGGAAGGTTATAATAGTACAAAACACAATAGGAGTGTAATTGATAGGTAAGGCAAACAAATCATTTTGAAAATAAATAGAATCTCCATAGCAACAGTCCACCTTCATGTACCGTCATGTCAAGATGCAACAAACTCTGAAGCCTCTCTGGCTGTGGGCACAAGTTGTGGAAAGCTTTGAAGTAAATGTTTAGTTTGTGACAAAGTTGACCTTTTTTGTAAAATTAACAATTCAGAACATTGAGGCATTACTACAGGATTGGGAATGACGTCGAAAGGAACTCAGTGGCCCAGGTGAAACTCGGTCGCCCAGGTGAAGCTAGGTGGCCAAGTGGAGCTAGGTGGCCCAGGTGGAACTCAGTGGCCCAGGTGAGGCTCAGTGGCCCAGGTGAGGCTCAGTGGCCCAGGTGGAGCTCAGTGGCCCAGGTGGAGCTCAGTGGCCCAGGTGAAGCTAGGTGGCCCAGGTGAAGCTCAGTGGCCCAGGTGACACTAGGTGGCCCAGGTAAAACTAGGTGGCCCAGGTGAAACTCAGTGGCCCAGGTGAAACTCAGTGGCCCAGGTGGAGCTAGGTGGCCCATGTGAAACTCAGTGGCCCAGGTGGAACTAGGTGGCCCATGTGAAACTCAGTGGCCCAGGTGGAACTAGGTGGCCCAGGTGGAACTAGGTGGCCCAGGTGAGGCTCAGTGGCCCAGGTGAAGCTCAGTGGCCCAGGTGAAGCTCAGTGGCCCAGGTGCAGCTCATTGGCCCAGGTGAAGCTCAGTGGTCCAGGTGAAGCTGGGTAGCCCAGGAGATCTGGTATTTAAATCAGAATTTCCAGTTTAGCGAGTCGGTGAGCTCAGCTCATGACCATTTAAAAACCGGTTTGATAAACATCCGGTATGCACCGCGTGCGGGGAGCATGTAAAATGGTTGCCTGTACAGGGTGGTCCAGATGTGTTGTGACCCACAATTAAATTTTTTTCCCTTTGTTTTATTAATTTATGTTTTAAATACACCTTACCTTAAAGAAAATAAAGTTTTAGAGAATTAAATGGGGGGGGGGTCACAAGACATCTGGACTACCCTGTAAGTGTGGATGCAGAGGACTTCGTAATTTCCTGGAATGGCTGCTCTCTGGGAGAGTTTCATATTGGTAATTTCTTCACCTTGGGGAATGGTGCCAATAGCACAATTTAATTAAAACCAATTGGAAACAATTATGACGAATATATACATTACCATAATTATTTTTTGTAACAAAGAGCGAAACGAAAAACACTTCTGAGAATAGGTTTTACCCCTTTATGACAATACAATATGTGTTAAGATTTTTAAACACCAAATAGATACCCTTTTCAAGGGATCAAGTTTGCATTAACCACACGTACATGTGGTAAAACATGGAAACAAAGTTCTCCGATAATAATAATAATATATTGATTGCCTCTGAAACTGATTGGGCTACACCAGAGACGTCCTTCTTTTACGTCCTTGTCGCACCACGTGTCAGACCGGAGAACGCCAACAGGCGAATAGTTAATACGAGATCATCTTCTGTCACGTGTTGACTTGTGCCATGCGGGCGTGGTGAGATTGCGAAATGATGTGGGCCAAATAGCTGTTTTCATGAGTCACATCCGGGCTGTTTCACACAATTGCGTGCAGGTTCTGGGGCTCACTCGGGCGTGATTCGTTCGGGCTCACAAGTGCCGTGGCCAGCAGCTGTGAAGTCGAGTGGCCCTCGTTTCTCTCGGTCGCAAGGCGGCACAATCAAAGGGCAAAGTCAAGTAAGTACGGGGGGTGCTCGTCCTGCTGCCATCACGATAAGGCTCCACTCTGGATGCAGTAAATCTAGTAAATCTCCACTATTTAAGAGCTCGTCTCTTGGAATTTTGCCTAGCTGGATACAGTAAATTCAGCTGTGACGGTCCCACCTGATGACGGAGACTTGTGTTGCCTCCGAAACGTCGTAATTTATTATTTTATTTCTATTTTTATTTCTATTATTTTTTACTTTTACCTACGTGACTTTACTAAAATAAACCTAAGAGTATGAATCCTTGCAGTCACGAAAGCTTCAAATCTAGAATTAGGCTCCACTCTGTTTGAAAACGCGTCTCTTACTTGGCTGCCGTGCTGCATCTGAGCTCATTTGACCTGCTCCGAAATGATAGGCACAGTGCCACGTGTAACCAAGTTGCGTATTCCGTGCGATGTACATCGTGTTGTATGTTTGAGGGCAATCGTTTTAATAGTTAGTACAAGCAGCACTTGCCCCAACAGCCTGTTAAGGCTATACGGGGGTCTTTATCTTAGTTTTTTGTGTATGGAGGACGCAAGAAGGATAAGTGTGTTTGTGGGTATAAGGAGGGGTAATTTATAGTGTGGGGCAGTGAGTGGATTATTCTGTCCTGCACTGCTATGAGGAGTGTTCTTCATTCATTTTGGATCAGACACTTTACACGTTTGACTTACTGCTTAGTTTATTTTGAGGTGATACACAGCATAGGGTTGTAAACCGGTTATTGATTTTTTTAAATAATTGTTTACAGAATCGACTCGCAATTCCAGTGGTCATGGAATTGATGATTAGATTAATTTAAATTTTAGCAACAATCGATTGGATTGGCACACAATAATGATTAGCACGGTTGGCTATGTACATATATACCGCACGGCGTATTCCAATGTGTTAGCAATGTTGGCAACCCATGGCATACAGGTAATGGGTTTTCACGTGTAATATTATACACACACATGACAAAAACAGCCCTGTTTCGGTACACTGCTGCATGAAGGTTTCTTTCCACGCCATGTCGATCATGGGGGCTGTTTGACTCGTTTGACGATACGTCACCACGCCGGTCATTGCAAGTTGTTGGTCAATGGAAAATAGTTTTTTTCTCTCCCATTTTTATTTCTGCGTGCGATTATCAAAAAGACTTCAATAGAAGTGAGCAACTCTAGTGGTCAATAACCGAACGTTAGATTTCTGTCCACTTTGGCTACCACACCCTTTACACTTCCTATTTTATCATATATTATTTATAAGCACCATTTATTTCCCGTTTTTTTTAACGGCTCCTCTCCACACGGCCGTGCAGGCATCCACAATTCACAATCCATACTGAATTGTTTGAATTGATATTTGGTCTTCATGTGTATTTTCTGGCATAGAAATGAAACAAGTATAACCCGTAAAAACAAAGTTTTTCACTTATAAATCCTTTATATGCGTGGCGGCTAGAGTCCTCTCGTCCTCTGGCTTGAGATGGCTGCCACCTATGGGTCAGATGATTGCATTGCACCATTAAGCAATTGGTAATTAAATATAATATTTTTGTCCTAAAAAGTGTAAAATTTTGAAAAAAAATTTTGACGAACATTAATTGTCACACACAACGAGTCTGTGTGGAAAATGTAAGCTCGATTGGATCACGGGAAGTGGGTTAAAAAACGAGCGAAAGATTTGCACGGTCGTAAGCAAGCAAGCGAACTTAATATAAAGGATTTTAAAAGGGCCTTGTTTCAAACTTTCCTATGACTTGTGTTGAGAATTATCTGCACAGGGCATTTATGTTGTATGTATGTTGAACTGATTTCGTACAGTACGCAGCCGCCCGTTCTAATCGGAGGTGCGGGGGATGCTTCGGCATCACCGTTGGAAGGTCGTGAGTTGACGTCGTGGTCAGGGTTGATAAGTTGATTCACCACTCTGGAATGTCAATGCTGGTTGTCTTCAAGTATTATTCCCTCCCACACACGGCACATTTCCACGGCTAGCTGGGAGGCTGCTGCTGGGATTGAGCAGCAAGTCACCTGGTTTCTGACTTTGAGGCGCCACGTTGGCGGGATGTTAACTACCTCGCTTGGTATACAGGAGGTCGTGGGTATGGTCTCGACCCTGACACCTGTACATTTGGTGTTGGTGTGGTGTTGGCTACTCACCCCGTCCTGTGCCGTGATGGCCTTCATACGTGCTCGCTTGACCCAACAGTCTGTTAAGGCTATACGGGGGATCTTTGTCTTGTTTGTTATTTATACAACAGAGAGATAACACGTAGCCAGCCAGGGCCAGGTGGCTCATGGTGCAGCTCACAATCGTAAATGTTTGCGAGTTAAAATCCTGGCCTGCGGTTTGACTCAGAAGATGGTCGCTCTGGCCTTAATAAAAAATAAGCGCCGCTTTGTCTCGAGAAGTCAGCAGTGGTTGTCCCCTGGATAGTTTTCTTCCCTGCCATAATACGAATGCGGAATATCCACCACTGGCTCAGAGATGTAAACATGAAGTGAGCGCCGCATCAGTGCTCATTTGAGCAGGAAACGCGTTGAGTGATTGTTGCCAATATAATTATTATTGTTTGTGGGACCACACCTTTGCGATTCGCCATGAAGAAGGGTGGCGATTGTATTCATTCAGTGAAGCTCCTCTTAAATCCACTACTCTTACCATCCATACCTCCACTCGATCCACGGAAAATGATGTTTCTGCAGTTTGATTCTTCCTGTTATTGGTGGAAAATTATTCACCCTAGATCCGTGTTCATTTGTGTATTAGTCACTCGAAAAGTAGTCTGCAAATGGTGCTGATTTCAGCCTCTTAGTCACCTCTGTTGTATGAGTTTCGGGGAGCTGCAAGCATGGATGAATTGTGTGGACCAAAGTAATTTATTGAGATAACAAGACCCACCAAAAGTGTCTCTGCATCACCACGCATGAGAGGGGTTTTACTGTGCAGCTATCATTTGTAAATAACCCAACCGCTGTTTTAGTGGGCCACCAACGCTCACCACATTTCAGTTTAGAGTATCTATCTAGAGTATCTATAAGTTTCCACATAGAGGATATTTAGAGACTGACATCACAGGAAAGCAAAACCACCCCGATACGTTATAATGTGCAGCGCGTCATCATACCTGGCCCCTAGCATGTAAACCAGTCTAAGCCACGGGCAACGTGGACTTTTCTGCTGTGTTGTGTTTAACTTTGTCCGCAGTAATTCCTAATGTACTGCAATTTTGGTACAACAGTTAATTGACCTTGGGATTATCATTGTGGTAGATCATTGATATTAAAGTTGTGTTTGTAGTGATGAATAATCAACGCAAGTTGCAGTGTTAAGTGGTTATTTGTTTTCTTTGTGGTGGTGGATGTTTAATCCAGACTTGGTGCTTAACTGCTAAATTCAGATTAGGTACTGTTGCTGTATGTATATTGAACTTCTTTTGCACCGTACATAGCCATCCGTGCTAATCGGAGGTGTGGGGGGAAGGACGACAAACTACTGTTGGTAGCATCGCGTGTTTTAATGACGTTTGTAAATGTTTACGAGCACCGATGCACTTGCCCGTTTCCCCGTTAAAAGTCTACTCAATTCAGACCTTGCGAACATTCAAAACTGACCAAACTGTTATCGTCGCGTGTCGCTGTTTTGAAACGGCAGGTTTTGCACAGACTGTCTTGGACACCTCGATGTGAAGATGTCCAGCAAGACGCTTGACAAGGCGACGCGAAGCAAGCTCATTGAGGAGGGCCTCCGGTTCCTCCAGTGAGTGTGGCGGGGGTGGGGGTGTGGATGCTTTGCAACCGAAGTCGGCGGCTTGGGTTAGCGTGAGAACAGCAGCAGCCGATGAAATTACCGATCACAATCGCGAGATAGCGGATTCGTTTTTTTTTTTTTAAAGAGATTGCGCGCCCTCCGTTCCGTTGGATCGTCGCAACACGTTTGAAAGGGCACCCCCGGAGGCAGTTGTCCCTGTGTGACGCACGTTTAACTCGGCACCTGGCCTGCAGGCCGGGTATTGGTCTGCCGGTAGGGTGCGATGATTCGTATGTGGAGTCCACGTTGTGGAATATGCGGGCACATTATTTCAAATTTGGCAAATTTGGACTTTGATGCCGGCACAAATTGGCCTTCTCTTTCCGACTTATGCCAGGATATTAAAGTGTGCGGTCTAAAACACGTGTCTTGTTCTAAGCTACAGTGCTGGATGAAATTCACTTTGTAACTAGTAATAGTTTTTCCACGTGTAGAAAATACAGTTTTTTACCATGTGTGATGTTAACTGCCTTTCCTGGTATACAGGAGGTCGTGGGTTCGATCCCAACTGTGACGCCTGCTGTATATTTGGACTTTGCATGGTCGTGTGGATTTTTCTCTAGAATCGTGCGTTTAGAGTCGTTAGCTGCTATAAATGTCCGCATGATAAGCCACTTGGTTGAGCTGTCATTTGTGATTGACAGCTCGCTTCTGAAAGCTCAGTGGGCCTTACCTGGTAAAATAAAAATAGTTTGGTTTACAATTTAGTTAATAGTTTAGTTTATGCCTGCAGTTGTGAAACAATTGAAAATGTGTATGTGTGTTTAATTATAATTTTGTTCTCGTTTTTGTTTTTCAGATCACCGCAGCCTTTTGACGGCTCGGACAGTGAATATGAGGTAGTTTTCTTAGAATCGTCGTTGTGTTTTATGTCAATAACACAATTTACAAATATGATTTTCCTTCGGTAGGGTGCAATCTATTACATTGCAGAATATGTATGTGCATGCTATGAGAAGGTAAAGTAAACAAACAGCCCTTTATCATATCGACTGCTCCTAAATTTTTTTTGCCAATATATATTTGACCATACCTCACCATGCCAGTTTATTTTGTTGTATACCTTACAATCAGTCCCCTGGTCAGTTGTGTGGTTATAATCCAAATGGTTAAATTTAGACTCAAGGCTTGGTCAAACTAAAGCGTGGAATTTTCATCGGAGCAGTTTTCATCTTCTTGGTTCTTTCGGTAAAGTCACGTAGAAGGGAAGTAATAAAATAATAAAAATAACACATAATAAAATAATTCTCACGACGTTTCGGGCACAACGCAAGCTTGTGCCCGCCCTCACAGTCGGGCATATTTGCGGAATACACCACGCCGCCGTTGACCCTGGCCATTGACCGAGCAACCCAACGTTCCTACCAGCTCCCTCCGCAGGAATGTGTTAACTAAGTACACTGGTATTTTATTCTCTTTGCCAAACAAATCAATGGGTAGATGAACACAACTGATGCACCATCCTAGGGCGGTTAATAAATGCTTTCTTTCAGACAATGTTTGGTGAAATGAAAAGGCAATAGAGAGGAGGGTGGAGTGCATTTGGAAAATGAAATTTAGTAATGAAAAGTAACAGACCACAGTATATTTAAGGCAAGTACATTTCCGATCAGTGCGGGGTTACCCATTATGATGCATGGATTAGAAACATGGATACTGCCAAATATTGCCTCTTAAGGAATCAATCAAAAAGGCCTTTAGTTCAGATTTAAATAACATGGAGCGAACTGCAGCCTTCCACCTCTGCTTAATGAGGATGCGGCTTGAACTATAAAGTAGTGTGCTTGTATGCTATTTATGCACATTATATGGGGGTGATGTGTTGATGTGACATTTAACCCTAAAGGAATGAACAAATCTCTACGAGCAGGACAGAAAAAGAAGAAAAATGTTTCGGACAATTTGGTGAAATGAAACCGTTTTAACCGAATCGTGACAAATCATTGATTCCCACGTGGTTTGGAGGTGGATGGGGGGCAGAGTTTGAATCGTTATAGGCCTAGTACAGGGGTCGGCAACCAAAATAACAAGAAGAGACATTTTTTTTTTCACCCAAAAAACGTACTTTGTAATATTTCATCAATGGACATTAATACATAAAGATACTACCAACATTATAAACACGTGATATTAAAATAAACATGGTTAATGAATGCATTAATTAATATGTACTATACCTACAACAGCCCGTCGTTAACATATTGGGCTCTACGGAGGCTCGTCGTCCACGGCGATTAGCCGTTAACAGAGGTGGCCATTAAGAGGGGCTCTACTGTACATACATTATGTCACGAAGCAGTTCTTAAAGAGCCGCATATTTCCGACCCTTGGCCTAGTCGCAGGGGATACGGTCACGGCAATGTCTGCGCACGCCATGCGGTTACTGCCAACCTGGCAACGCCAACCAACGTGCCCCCCCCCCCGCACCCCTCCGTGTACGTCGAACCGTTTCTGTGCCGCCGATCGTCTCTTTTGCGTCTTCCTCGGCCGGCGCCCAGGGGTTCCTGCGCAAGCTTGTGTCGTGCCTGTGGGCGGACGGGGACGAGTTGTACCGCGCGGGCGACGCGGCCACGGCGCAGCGGCAGTACGGGGAGGCGCTGGACGTGGTGGAGTACATGGAGAAGGAGGGCCTCCACTGCCCCAACTTCGTGAACGAGCGTCTGCACGTCAACCGCGCCGCCTGCCACCTGCGCCACGTAAACGACGCTGCTAAGACAAAGATCCCCTGCGTAGCCTCCTCTTAAACCCTTTCCCCTTCCGATGACGTACGCGTACGTTGTGAGTTATTCTTCCGATTGTCTTTTAAACAGAGTTGCTGGGCACAGGGCCACAACCGAAAGAAAAACTAAAATTAAATAGCTTTATCGGTACCGAGGCTACCACAAGTTCATGCGGGAGGGCGTGTGGCACAGTTTGCCGCCAGCTATCACAGAGTGCGGTCGTGTCACTACAGTTCTCTGCGGTGAGACAATGTCTTTAAAAACGACGGCGCTATGCCTCTAAATAAAATTAACACTTACCGCTTCCGCGTTCTGAGATTCAGTGGTGAACGGGACCCACCCTGCAACTTGCAGATGTCTTGGAATGGGAAAGGGTAAACAGACTGTTGGGGCAAGCAAGTGCTGTTAGCGAGGAGCGCCAATGAAGGCCGCCACGGCACACAAGGGGGTGGGTGCCACGCCCGGCCGCCTTTGTCTCCCTAGCGGCGACATTTTTACACATCTCACTATGTACCCGTTTGAGATTGAGTCGACCTAGGGGAGGTCCAGGACCGGCTCAGATAAGCGTCACTGGTGTTGGCCGTGAGCGGGAATCAAACTCGGGTCACCGGGTTAGTAGTGCAGCGCGCTAACCGCCACGCTACCGCTCCCAAACGCTTCACACACACACACTACACACACACACTGCACCATGCACTGTCTTGTTATCAGTATTCTGATATCTTGTGTTCTAATTCCCTGCAGTGTGGTAAGTTGAGCATCTCAGTCTGGTCACCAATGACAACCACAAAAAACATGAATCTTGTCGCATGTGTGGGCTTGCAAATAATTTGGCCATCCCAAGCAGTCACCGCGTTTGTTGGCAGAGCATTTTGGGTTTTTTTCGACAATGTTTCGTTGGGCTCGATTGCGACGACTGAACACGCAAAAAGGCGAATCGATAAATAACCACGGTTGTGAGGATCGCAGCGAGGAGCCGGCCGTCACGCGGGGTTGACGTGAGCGAGAGATCTCTTTACCCCACTCCCCCACCGTCTTCCGCTCCCGGAAAACAGAATGACTTCGGCAAGGCCCTGGAGGACTGCGCCCTGGCGCTGAAGCTGAACGAGAAGAACGCGCAGGCATGCTACCACAGGGCGCGAGCGCTGCGCGCCATGGGCAGCGTACGCGAGGCCTACGACTCCGTGGTCATCTGCTCTAAGCTCATGCCGCAGGTGAGGGACGACTTCTGGGGGGGGGGGGGGGTCCATACGATGGGCGGAGCGCTTTTTTGTTGAGTGGCCCCTTCAGCAGCCGCAGAGCTCATCGCAGTAACGGGAACTTAACAGTCCGAGGAGCTGACGCCCCGGTGGCCAGATGTTAACTCCTTCGCCTGGTATGCGGGAGGTAATGAGTTCGATCCTGACCCTAACTCCTGTATATTTGGAGTTTGCATGTTCTCTCTCCCCGTGGTCGCGTGGATTTTTCTCCAGGTCCTCCGTTTTTTTGCTCCACATTTAGTAACATGCGTTTAGAGTATTTGGCTGCTATAAATTTCCACATGATAAGCCACTTTGATGGCCTATCATTTGTGATGACCAGGTCGCTTCTAAAAAAGAGCTGCGTATTTATATGAGCCAATTACTCGAAACGGGCGTTTCTAAATGTGAAGGGAAAAACCGGAGGACTCGGAGAAAAATCCTTGCAATCACGGGGAAACCATTCCAACTCCAAATATACAGGCATCAGGATCGAACCCACAACCTCCTGTATATAAGGCGAGGTAGTTAACATCTCATATGGAGAGACTGTAACCCTTGGACAGTTGCGTTTAGCTGATTTTAATGAACAAGAAATGATCATGGTTTGTATTTGCTGTCGTGGGCTGAGACCTTCAAGGCACATCACTTGAAAAATGCGTTTAATCGCGCGTGTCTAACACGAACGTTCGAACCTGTGATCTCACTGATGCTGACACATTTTTATAAAAGGTGTGAGCTCCCCGAGTCATTCAGCCACCTCCCATGAAATATCACTGAAATTAAAAAAATATAATTACTACCCTTTTGAACATAACCTTTCGTTCCCTCGTGTAAAGGGCATAAACTCAATTTATACAGTTTTTTTTTTAATACCAGATGATGCGCGTCATCCGTAATTTATGCCATCTCTCTGCACGTATGTGACACCACTTTGCCAATTGTTTCTGTCTTCTCTGGTCGGATGGAACCGTCCAGAATTCGCATATGTATGTTGAATTTTCTTCACACCGTACGTAGCCAACTGTTGGAGGTTGACAAAGCCAATGAGCACTTTGGAGTCAATTAAATGACTACTGATTTGTGGGAACTCATTATTGGGCATATTATTAAGATACTGTTCTTGCCATGGGAATATGGAATTTCTGCTGGCAGGCACATGGCGACTGAGACAAACTCCACCTCAGTATTCATTTGAGCACAGACAACTTGACCTTTGACTTAACATTCTGGGGTTGGGGCTCGGGGCTGGTGTAAGTCGTTTTCCAGTTATGATGTGGAGACTTTGGTTGGCTGATGTGTGCTTGCCCCACTTTTATTCCCATTGCCAAGGATGGCGTTTTAAACGTTGCGTTCACTTTTCACTTTTCCATTGCCTTGTCTAGCCACGCAGATGCCATAGGGAAGTGTTCTTTACATATTTTCAGAGGAGGGGCCACTTTTGCCGATAAGACATCAGTCTGAGGGCCACCACACATTTGAAAACATTGGGGTTTGACAGCACGAAGATAGGGGGCGTGTTCACATTTGTGTTTTTTGTCCGGGGCCTTGCACATCAGTGGCCCGCGGCAGGCCTTGCAATGAATGACATTGGCGTAGAGGCCCTCTGTTCGTCATCGATGTCGCTCGTTCTCCCCATGCTCAGGATCAGCAGGTCATCGCGCTGATGCAGGAGCTGGCACAGGCGTTGGGGCTGCGTCTGCGCAAGGCCTACATAAGCCAGGTAAAGACGGTTCTTTGTCAACGACGCGCCTCTCAAAAAATGCATCATCGTCATCTACCCGTTGTTACCTGCGCGTGGTAGGACGTGCTGACGTGTTTGACGCAGCGTCGCGTCAGGCGTGTTGGTTTGGCCACTGGGCGGGCGTCTTTTAAAAACGGGTTGTGCAGTGAGCCGCGTGCAATAAAATAAAAAATGTCACGTAATATTACGACTACAAATGTGACACGCAGTTATATTTGTATTGTTTTAGTTGTATATATAGTGTGGTCTATAACATAATTTCTTCTCTGAGAATTTCCATCTCTGGGGGCTGTTGGTAAACATGCACGCCGGGGGGTGTTTTTGTCATATGTTGGGGCGTGCGTGAATCCACAACATTTACTCTTCAAACACACCGGCGGGCTGAAGAAGTAACTAATTGGCGTTTTGTTAACGTGACACATGTTTTACTGATTGGCCGTGTCGGGTGGTGGAGGGTTGTGACACATTTATACTTACAGGATCTCACCCAAAAAACATTATTATGAACAACCCTGCGCTCGTATACTTGGAGTTTGCATGTCTCTCTCCCCGTGGTCACGTGTATTTTTCTCCGGGCCCTCCGGTTTTTCCCTCCACTTTTAGAATCGACGTGCGTTTAGAGTATTTGGCTGCTATAAATGTCCATGTGATGAGCCACTTCTTTGACTTATCATTTGTGGCCAGGTCACATGTGAAAAAGAGCAGTATAGCTCAGTGGGCCTTAACTGTGAAAATACCAGGGGTTGAATGATTCCCTTCTGCAATACAGTCATACGATACAACTTGACTTTCAGTTATGTTTTCTCAAAAACAAAGCTTAAAACATTTGTTGTACAGCCGTCAGATACACATATATATTAAATATATGTCTACGTTTAAAATATAGCATGTTACTAACGTTGGTTTTGCGTCTTTGGAGCTGACGTCAGCGTGGTTAATTTGGGCGTTGACGTCATCGTTGTCTCGCGTGCAGGCTTCTGGGGAGAGGCAGGCGATAAAGAACGACATTGATGACGTCATCTCAGGTGAGGTTGCCCCCCCCCGCCCGCCTCCCCGCCCCCCACCGTCACCGTGGGTCAAAGCCCCCCCCCCCCCCCACAGCAGCACTCGCTTGACATCCTCCTGGACATTGTGTAGATTTCTACAGCAGCGCCTTACTCAAAGGCGCTTTACAAACGAGGGTAACATTGTCCGTAAGATGATAGTGCTTGAGACGAAGAGTTGGGCTTGCTGTCATTGAAGGGTGGTGGGTGTAGTTATTGTGACAGGAGAACAGACTGGAGAGGTTGAGGGGTTTGGGGTAGTGGTAGGGGTTGGGGTTGTGATAGGGGTTTTACCCAGTCTCAATTTAACATACGACCAGTTGCTGTGGTGAGATGTTAATTACCTCGCCTGGTGTGCAGGATCGTGGGTTCCATCCCAACCCTGACGCCTGTTGTGTATTTGGAGTTTGCGTGTCTCTCTCCCTGTCCTCGTGTGGATTTTTTTCTGGGTCCTCCGGTTTTTCCCTCCACATATAGAATCGACATCACGCGTTTATAGTATTTGACCGCTATACATTTCCACGTGATAAGTCACTTCAATGAGTTATAATTTCTGATGGCCAAGTCACTTCTGAAAAAGAGCTGTATTAGCTCAGTGAGCCTTACCTAATCAAAGAAAAATGGTTTTATAGTTTTCAGTGTTTTCCCCATGCAACGTCTGAGGCCGGAACCTGCGTTTCCAATGTGCTTGGAAACATTTAACCATTCTTAATGAGCACATGTGTACGAAAAAATTAAAATTTTTATAATAATGTATATATGTATGTTGAACTTCTTTCGAGCCGCACGTAGCCAACAGTTTAGGGCACCTTATATTTATCTATTTATTCGTAGATATTTCTTTATAAGGTGCCCTAAAGAATGGATCTCGGAGTGCCATGCAAATAAAGGAGAAGAAGTGACGGGTAACCGGACAGCGAGAGACTCATGAGACTAGCATAGAGAAGGGCTTTTTCAGTAGGTGATGGGGTCTTTAGGCAGGACTTTGTACTGATCAATAATCATCGCTTGTCTCCTGTGCGTGTGGTGACCGGCCCCCCTGCAGAAGATGAAAATGTGCAGCCCATTCCGGAAACGCGAAACGAAACCCCGGTGAGCAAAGCCACCCTGCCGAGCCAGCAGTGCAATGGAAAAACCAACGCCAAACCGATCGGCGGCGGCGGCGGCGTTGTCGGCGGTGGCGGCGGCGGTGGTGGCGGCGGCGGTAGCGGAGTTACCGGCGGCAGTGGTGGGGGGGGCAGCAAGGCAGCCACCGCCCCCGCCAAAACCAAGGGCCACAAGGGAGGCAGCGGAGGCAAGGGGGCGCCGGGTGGCTTGGCGCCGCCGCCGCCACCACTCCCGCCGCATCAAGCCGGGCCGGGGCTCGCGGTCGTCACGCCTGCCCAGACACGGCCTGCCAGCAAGGTGGGCCCCACGCGTAATTTCACCACCACCGCCGCCACCAGCGCCGCTGCCGCCAGCGCCGCCGCCACCGCCAGCGGCGTGCGCGTCAGGGAGGCCCCCAAGCCAGTATCGGTGCTTCCCGCTGCTGGGAAGAGCGGCGCTCCTACCAAGCCTGAACTCGTGCCGTTGAGGCCCGGCGACGTCGCGGAGAAGCCACCCAATGCGGCCGAGCCGGCCAAGGAGACCCCGCCGGGCCTGGTGAACGGCTATGGGGGCGGGGGTGGTGTGGGGGTCGGGGACAATAAGCTGCTTCCTCTCGCTGTGGCTGAGAGCGCGACCTTCAACACCGCGGAGGATGAGATCATCGGAGAGGACTTGGACGAGCTGCTGGACATGGTGTCTGAGGAGTTCTCTATGCAGGTAACGGGGTCCTCCTTTGTGCAGCCCACGAAACGATGGCTTCGATCTTGCAGTCGCCCGCCTATGCGGCAGTCGTATGGCTTAAACTCGGCAAGCATTATTTGGGGGCTTTAAAGCGCAATGTGTTTTGTTTATGCTGCAGGGCCTACAGTCGCATTCCATGCAGTTTCCTGCGGGCCTTCAGAACTCCCTGCCCACGCCTCCTCAGGGTCTGTCGATGCCTCATGAAATGCAGCTTCATCAAGGCCTACAGATTCCCCAGGGACTTCAACAAGGCCTGCACATGGCCCACGGAATGCACGTGCCCCTTCACGCGGGACTGCATATCGCTCTCCAGCAGGGCCTGCCCCACGGTCTACAAATGCCCCCGACCATGTTCTCGCATTCCGGAATGGCACATGGTGGCGGGCCCATGCTGCACCAGCATCACCAGCAGTTTCACCAGCAGCAGCAGCACTTGCAGCTTCACCAGCAGTTTCACCAGCAGCAGCACCAGCAGCAGCAGCAGCAGCAACAGCAGATGCCCCCCGGATTCGCCGAGCGAGCAGCCACCTCCTGCAGGGGCCTCGACTCTTTGGATGACGTGTCCACCGCCCTGCCTGTGCTGAGGGCCACCGGGGCCTTCAGCAGCGGCCCCATCGCCTACGGTGAGAGCCAGCGGCATTGAGGGCCCCGCATTGAGCACTTCCAGATGTGTATTGATTGAATTATTTATTCATTCATATTTGAACTCTTACTCTTTGGGTCTTTCGGTAAAGTCACGTAGATAGAAAAATAATAAAAAATCAAGACGTTGCGATCGCAACACAAGCAATCGTCTTCTGGTGAAAAAATACAGCAGGCGAACTGCTGAGGCTTTTTTTATTTTGCTGGTGAGATTAATAAAATTCCATTTGCCAAGAGCAGTGCATCGCCGCCTCCCGTTTTAGAGAAACGGCCTGTGGAAGATGACGTCGCAGAACTACTCCCGAGCTCCCTTCAGTTGCCTCTTGTCTACCCGAGGTGGTGCGGCATCTCACTCGCACTGCTCGCTGTGTACAGGTGGTCTTTGAATGACAGCCGGGAGTCGTCAAAAGCTGAAAATGTGCAAAATTTAGTAAAAACCAAATGCAGCATCATGGGCGATATAGCCCAACCGTTGGTAACTGCTGAGACATGAACTCATTATCCTTGAGAACCTGGATTAACCACAGGCGGTTAGCTGGATTCGAACTCGGAATGTCAGCGTCGCCGGCGTGTTGCTCTCGCACACAGCTGCCTGACCCAGCCGGCGCCCGCTAGAAGTTGTAGAGCTCTGGGGCTAACCATGGGCTCTCGATTGTTTATTGCCCCACCTCCTACTAATTACACAAGCGTGGAACGCCAGTCGACCAGTAGACTTGGAAGACACGCGCGTACGCCGAGATACAAAGCAAGAGGTTTATTTATTTAATTCTCGGTGAGTGTTTTTTAGAACGAGTTATACAGAGCTGTGATATTCCAGCCTGTTTCTCCTCGCCCAATCACTACAACAAATCCGACAGTACATATAATATGATGCCATTCCACTTTGGCGTCTGTGCTAGATACTGATGATCTGTAATCTGTAGTGACGGCCATCATTTCTGTTTGCAGATGGAGGTGCGGGCCGGCTCTATCCTGAAGGATGGCCCGGTCACATCCTGCAGGAAGGTAAATAAACTAACTAAACTATGAACTATTTATATTTTTAGCAGGTAAGGCCCACTGAACTGTATATCTCTTTTTCAGAAGCGACCTGGCCACAATTGACGTGTTAACAAAGTGGCTTATCACCTGGGAAATGTATAGCAGCCCAAATATTCGAAACGCACATCGATTATAAATGTGGAGGGCAAAACCGGATGACCCAGAGATAAATCCACGCGACATGCAAACTCAAAATATTACAAACGTTAGGGTCCGGATCGTTGAGTTCACCCATCAACGCTGTGCTACCACCGCAGACGGCACCACGTGTTGCCCAGATAGATGATCCCGGTGGTGCATCGGATACCGATAGATGATCAACATCAAGTAAAAGTGTGTTTAGGAAAAGTGAAAGAGCTGTACACTGCGCATACAAGTGTACCCCGCAGAACCAGTGCAGTTTCGCTGGATTGCTATTCGAACCCCTTAATGGATTTAACATTACTCGGGGCCTCGCGGGCAATGTGTGACTTTCCGCGGATGTACGTACGTATGTATGTTGTTGAAATTCCTTCGCATCGTACGTAGCCAACCGTGCTAATCGGAGGAGTGGGGGAGGGATACAAAAAGCAGATGAACCGCACATGCCTCAGGCAGCACTCAAGAGGCTTCTAGGAGCACATGTCCCTGTAGTTTTGCTGCCCCTGCTGCTGCCGATTTCTTAAGGCAACTGTCGGATACTTTTTGCCGTGCCTGGGAAGTGTGCCTATCCGTCCCAACTGCAGTTCACTTGTGTTTACGAACGGGACAAAACCCCTTGATAACCAAGCACGATGAAACTTATCACAGCTTATCAAATACCAGCGCCCATATCTGTACAGATTTTTTTTAGCAACAAATTTGTTTGGAAAAAAAAGTGTTTTTCTGCTCGTTGCTTATCAGTACGGATGTACTTGTGTGTTTGAGTGCATGAGCGGGTGTGAGCGTGTGTGTGGGACGCGCGTGTGTGTGGGACGCGCGTGTGCGCGTGTGTGCATTTGTTTCTGTGCACACATTTCTTTGCAAAAGTCTTAATTTTCTCACAAATGAAAGCGTCCTTAATTGGCTGGCGGTAGTCACAACATGGGGTGCAGGGGTGAATGTTTGTATTGGCAACAGTAATTGCTTTTTAGTTTTATTTAGAAGTTGACATTTGGCAGATAAGTGTTCCTCAGAGGTTGTAATGCTTCTATTTGTTTTAGGAGGAGTGTTTCTCTATTAATGCGATTTTTTGTTACGTCTAATGGCAGGGTTGGTGAATGTGGTGGCGAATATGAACTCTGCCGACATTGTGGTAAGTTTTTCTGTTTGCACGGAATATATGAGAACACGTTTCCGACGGGGATGTGCGGATATTAATGTGGCACTTGTTTAAAACCTGCGAAATATCATAGGGCACTTTCATTGTGGGGAAGCTTCAGAAAACCTTTGTTAATTCGACACATATGACGCTCTGTTCTTGCTGAATTATCCGATATTCCGAATTATGCACAATAGTACTCCCCAGTGCCTCCTGCCCCAATCAAATTTTTTTCTTCCAAATTTGTTTTACAAACTCTTCAAACACCATACGCATCGACACACAACCTGCATCAATTCTATCCCAAACTTTGTATTTGTCTCGCAGACTAAGGGATTTCTACTTCAGTCTCTTTCTATTACTTCTTAATGTAGGTGTGGACGACATTTCTGAGAGGGTTGGCTTACACAGAGTGCACAAACAACGACAAAAGAGATGGGTTTGCATTGACGCTCACCACGCGCGCCGCCACCAGACCGAGCCGTTGTTTTGGTCGTGGCGTGTGGCGTCGCTCCACGTGTATGCCGGAATTAGACCATTCGGTACGACCATTCGGCTAATGGCGAATTACTAATATGGCGAAAGCGCAGCCGTACCGAATGATCCCCAATTACGAATGATCAAATACCGAAATAACGAGGTTTTGCTGTATATATATATAAAATTGAGTTTAGAGTGCTCATCTTGGAGATTCATAGTCATTCGTGCTGCCTCTGTGTGTGCTCTGGCTGGCGTGGAGCAGGCCGGTCTGGCGGGGTCCGGCTGGGCCGGCGTGCGCATGGGCAACAACCCCCTGGCGGAGACGCACGACCTGAGGCAGGCGTGCGATCAGTGCTTCTTCTCCTTAGGTGCGGAACCGCGGGGAGCACCGCGCTCACACCGCCCGTTGTCGTGCACCGCGGCTGGCGGCGTTTACACGAGCCTCTGCACACCCGGCGCGTCTCACTCGCACACACACCGAACTGACAGCGCACGTACGCACACACCTAGGCTCTCGTACACCTCACAGCTCTCACACACACACCTCACAGCTCACACGGCGCGCGCACATACACACATCCGCGGTTTGCATTACAAAGTAGGAGAAATAAGACGACATCTTAACATCAAAAATATTACTCTGTTTTTGTTATTTGTGTAAGTCGAGTAAAAGCTTTATTCGGCAATAACGTATTTAAAATAATCTACCAAAATAATGATTCGATTGCAGCCGACTCACTGGTTTTTGGAATATATAATGCGGATAGTCAGATTGTCATACGGCCTTGATATCGTGCGTGCAGTCAGAGCCGGCACAGCGTGACGTGTTTATTTTCCCGTGATGCTCGAGTGCCTTTAACACGAGCGTGTACCGACAGCGAGGCTCAAGCAGCCCTGCCGCTAGCGCTTAGGGACACCGTTGTGCAGCTTGTACGTACTTTGAACTTCTTTCGCACCGTAATGTAGCCAACCGCGCTAATCGGAGGTGCGCTGTCGGCACTTGCCCCAGGATTCTACGCAAGGGGATCTTTGTCTTTGCGCGTGCACGTGCGCGCGCATGTGTAGGGAGTGATGGGTGGTGGGGAGTGATCGGTGCGACGATGCGATACGCACACACCTTGTGTAGAGACAGCATTGCGCGAGTGTGTGCCACCGTGTTCGTGTCTAATGCGTTCGTACCACGCGCTTGGTGTTTGTTCCTCGTTGCAGCTGCGGTTTCCGAGATCCACGATTACAAGTATTTTCCGGACCTGGAACACAAGTGTAAAAAGAACTTGTTGATAGGGCGGCTTCGGAACTCAGAAGATCCCTGCTTCAAAATAATAAGGCCCCGACCGCAGATGATAAACTATATCGGCTCATACTGCATATGTCAAGGTACTGCACCACACGTTCATGTTTACAATGTGGTTAAAGGAGCGCGTGACCCCCAAAATCAGGAGCTCTCTTCTCGTTGATCCCCACAAGGCTGCGAGTCTTGGCACGTCCGACGATGAGTTCAAAGTTTTATTCGTGAACAACGAGGCTTAGGCTGCATTGCTACGGTGCCCTTGCGAGCCTCTCTCATTAGGCTTCAAGGTCGGGTCAGACAGCCCTGGACACCCAGCCTAGTCACCAGACATGTGACGACGCATCGATTCGTCAATTCACGCCGATTCTTAATCGTGACACATGCATCACATGGTTCGTGGAAGAATAACTCGCGATTTATACAAATGATACCGCAATTTAAACTCGCAGCCTTCTGATTACGCACCGCTCACTTTACCCCCCCCCCACCGAGCCACCTGGCCAGTTGCTTGTAATGAACGATCCAGAAGGTGGTGCAGTAGACAACGCACGTTGCGCACACGTGCGGACCGGGTCGTGCGTGGCGCTGCGTAGCGGTCGTGCCCAAGGCGCGCTGCCGTAACCAACTGCCGACCGCTGACCCACGCGCTGTCGCCGCAGACATCACGGAGGGCAAGGCGTGCCGCTTCCCCGGGCACTGCCGGTTCGCGTACAGCCAGGAGGAGATCGATGTGTGGACGCTGGAGAGGAAGGGGCTGATGCAGCGCGAGCTACTGTTCGCGCCCGTGTGCGGTACCGGCGGCTGGAGGGTCCGGTTGACGCTGCAGGGGATTTTAGAGGAGCACCATGGAATATTTCTCTTCCTATGCGAGGTATTGCACGCACGTTAGCACGCGCGCGTAGGCCCGCAGTCATTCATCATTCCTGCATGTCAGGCTTGTAAACGATTCCCATCCCTACCTCGCCTCCCGCGAGTCGATTCATTGTCATTTCTCGCGGTTCTGTGACTAAATGAAACTTTAAACTATCTTTTTTATTTTACCAGGTAAGGCCCACTGAGCTATATAGCTCTTTTTCAGAAGCGACCTGACCACAAATGATAGCTCAATGAAGTGGCTTATTGTGCGGAAATTTATAGCAGCCAAATACTCAAATATTCTAAACGCACGTTGATTCCAAATGTGAAGTGAAAAACCGGATGGCCTGGAGAAAAATCCACGCGACCATGGGGGAGAGAGACACGCCAACTTCAAATATACAGCAGGGGTCAGGATCAGGATTGAACCCACGACCTCATGTATATCAGCAGAGGTCGTTTCTCCATCTTTGGGACGGATGTCTTTGCCAGCCTATTCTATTTTTTGTCCGTTGAAGAAATTTTGCTTTGTCAATGTGTATGCCTTTATTCATTCATAACTTTTTTCATTGTATATAGCGTCATTCGTGCTAATTTCATCCCACGAGTTAGCCTGTTCAGTTGAACTTACGATTGAGATAATTGCTGTGGGTTTTTGCCGAGTGGTCCTGATCAAGGTGGTATTGCAGGGAAGTTAAACTTTTGTCTGCCTTTTTACAGCGCCGGCAAAGTGTTATAATTATTATGAAGGGAATAATGAGAAATTCATGATTTGATCAATGCTGACATAAAGTTTCTTTTTTCTCTCGTGTTCAGGAATGTTTTGACAATAAACCCCGGATGTTGAGTAAAGAAAGTAAAGAAAACCCCAAGTATTGCACCAACCAGAGCGTCAAACACATCTTCGATGAAACCAAGTACGTGTCTTTTCGATTTAAAGCTTTCGTGACTGCAGGGATTCATCTTCTTGGTTCTTTCGGTAAAGTCACGTAATATAATAATATAAAATAATATAATAAAATAAGATATTATTTTATTATGTTTTATTTTTATTATTTTATTATTTTCCTTATACGGGACTTTACCGAAAGAACCAAGAAGACAAGTACGTGTCCTCCTGCGTGCATATGCGCGGGTGTGCGCGCGTGTGTTGGAGTGTCCTCATCTGCCAGTCCTCTCACTCAGTCAACCCATGGCACCTGGGTCTGTCCCGTGACCTCCTGTCAGCGAGCCTTCGAAACTTCGCGTGGCTGGCCTGGCACAGGCGCCGTAGTGACATCATCACCGCCACTTGGTGGCAAATGGCGGCTGTTGTTGTTAGTGTAGTGGGGAGCAGTGACGGAGTGGGGAAACGGCAGTTCACCCAATGCACTTATGATCCCAGCAATTCCCCAGTCTTGCACATCAGTGCGAAGTGGTATTTGGACTTGCCCCCTGAGTCTCCCGTAGGACAGCTGGGCAAGGACCTGACCACACTGTACCCCTCATGCCTGCTTTAATAGGCGCTCACGCATACACGCATCTTCACTCTCAATGCAACAACATAATTTCAACTTGCAACGCGCCACGCAGTGTTCGCTCACTCTCGTAGAGAGAGGACGGCTTGAGGGAGGCGCGTGGAGGAGGCAAGCGGGAAGGCAGCCACGCGAAGAGCCGGCGCCAATATTTGCCCAAGCTTTGCGTCCCTCTCGATATTCAGAGGTTTATTGGCCACTGAATGAGCGTGTTTCCACGTGGGAGCAAAACCGGAGTGCCCGGAGCAAACCCACACATGCGAGATAGAAACACTATCCCATACAGACGTAAGAAGAAGGGGTCCACATTCTTTCTGCACTGCCTTCCGGCAAGCCAGGAAATGGCAAGGCCAACTTGTGATGGAATTTAACTACATTTTCGGTGGTTGTCGTTGACTCCTCTTTCAATTCACAGTTTTAACTTCGAGCGGGCTTTGCCGATGCCAATCCGAGAAGTTGATCGACGCGCTCGTTCCTTCGCGTTGTGCCCGTCCCACCACGCCCCCGCTCTCCCCCCCCCCTGCCCCCCCCCCCCACCCGCTCTCCGCCGCCCTCCTGTGTGCGCTGCAGGTGCCTGGTGCACGTGTTGCGAGGCACTAGCGTCCGCTACTCGAAGATCCGCCCGCTCAACAAGCTGAGCCAGTTCGACATTTGCCGGCACGAGATCCGCTATGGCTGCCTGCGCGAAGACAAATGCAACTTCGCTCACAGCTTCGTGGAGCTCAAGGTCTGGGTGATGCAGCAGCAGTCAGGTACCCCACCCCGCCTTGCGTCGCTCCCTGTGTCAGATGCACCACCCCACGCTGTCTGGCGACACGACCTGTGAGCGTGCCTAGGTCTACCACACGCTCGTAGTGTGTGTGTCGGTGAACTCCAAATTCAATTAAACTGTCCCTGCCTTTTCCCTCTAGCCTCTGTCCTCTTACCCAACGGCCTTGCTGCCTCACTCTTCATCCTCACCCTGTCCTCCATGTGCCAGTCCTGCCTTCGTCGAGGTATCAATCATCACCAAAGGTCGCTTATCACCGGGGTGGACGCGCGGTATTTTCGCGAGTACATGTAGCCTCGGGCACGTGTGATCATGAATGTCCTGTGTGCGTGCGTGCGCCACCGCAGGGATTTCCCACGAGGAGATTGAGATGGACTGTGCCAAGATCGTGGCTCAGAGCAGCGGGGCACTCGCAGCTCCCACACACAAGGTTCGTGTCTCTGTGCTGTCCCCCACACACACACGGAGCGGGCAGCCCAAGCAGTGCCGCCACGACCTCGCCGCACTGCTCGCAATCTCCCACAATACCACGAGGCTTTAGGAAGCATATTCGCCGTCAGTTTATACATCAAAAGAGCTATGAAGTTATTTTTTTCACAGATGTCAAGTAGGGGCGGGTCTGAACGTTACAGCAAAGTGTAGGAAGGGTAAACAAATCACTTCAGAATATATACAAACAAAACTCAACTATTTGTCTTTTATCAGGTAATGTCCACTGAGCTATTTGAGACCTGGCCACAAATGATCACTCAGCGAAGTGGCTTAGCAATTATGTGGGAATTATACAACATACGAGTTCTACATTATCAGTTGTACCGGTATAACTCAAATTTTTTTTTTTATAAAGCTTCTCAATATAACCATTCTCAGGTTGTTGTGTAGGTATGGGGAGGGGGGGGGGGATGAAGGTGAGGTGTGAGAAGAGATGAGTGGGGAGCGGTGGTGGTGTGGTTAGCGCGCTGCGCTCTACAAACCCAGTGGCCTGGATTTGATTCCCGCTCACAGTCAACGTCGGTGGTCGACGCAGCCTCAAATGAGTACCCGGTGCCGTTGCCGGCCTTTATAGGTGCTACTCGCTAGCAGCACTTGCCCCAACAGTATGTTCAAGGCTACATGGCGATCTTTGGCCTTTTAAAGAGATGAGTGACACGATGAGCGAGTCTGTGGGCTCACCGCAGAGAGGGGTGGGGGGGAGAGAGGGCTGCAGTGGAGTGCAGGTAAGAAACGGAAGGCCTTAGATCGTAGCGGAGGAGACACGGGAGGTCTGGGGCCAGGATATGAAAAGGTGAATGGAATTACCAGAGCGATGAAAAACAAACGAATAGGCCTTCACCTTTACGGCAAGAAACACCAAACAGACACCTATCACAAGGCATCAAGGCTGCATTGACCACACTGGCTTGTAGTAAAACCCGCAAACAAATATGCTTTGATGATGTATGCATTATCCTTGAAACTGATTGGGCTGCACCAGAGATGGTATCCTTTATGGCCGGTCTTGTCTCGCCGGTGTTAGACCAGAGAACAACGGAAAGAGGTGAACAGCACAGAGACATGCGAGGTCGTTATAGACGGAGGAAATGGGGAGTAAAAGGAGTGAGAAGGTCCTCCGATAGAAACACGAAACACCGACCGTGCTCATCGGAAGTGTGGGGGAAGGACAACAAACTACACACAAAATGCAGTTCTAGAGAAATTAGTTTTCAACCTAGATGATTTAGAAGTGCATAGCTCCCAGTGGCTTGCTAATATCGGAAGGGAGAGCATTCTAGACGGCCGCAGAAGCGCACTTGGAAGTGAGCGATGTGAACGTCCTTGTTCGATGGCTGAGCCAAACGCCGCTGCTGCTGCTGCTGCGAGGATGAGCGGAGTTTGCGTGATGATGGTTTACGATGGTTTATGCTCTTTGCTCCTGAGCGTCGATAGTACACCCACATGAGGTGCTGCAATGACGCTTGGGTTGGCCCTGCCTCCTCCCTCCCTCCCTCTCTCCGCAGATATCCAAGGTGGAGGTGAAGCGCTCTCAGATGCCCTTCCGCATGAAGTGTGTGTGCAGTCAGTGCTGGAGAAACGGGCAGGTGACCGAGCCTGAAGCTACGCTTAAGTACTGCAACTCCAAGGCTAGACACACGTATGTATGCGCACACAAAGATCCCCCATATAACCTGAACAGACTGCGCTGTTAGCGTGCGCCTATGAAGGCTGGCACGGCACACGTAGGGGTGGGTGGCCAGCACCACGCCCGGCCGCCTTTGTCTCCCCATGACCGGTTCAAATAATCGTCAGTGGTGTTTGCCGTGAGCGGGAATCGAACTCGGGTCGCCGAGTTCGTAGTGCAGCGCGCTAACCACTACACTACTACTCCTAAGATGAGCACACACACATCGCGATATAGCCACGGTGGTGAGATGTTAACCCTTTCCTGTTCTGAGACATCTGCAGTTTGCAGGGTGGGTCCCGACCACTGTTGAAGCTTGGAACGCGCAAGCCGCTCAGTGTTAATTTTATTTAGAGATGTATGGGTTCCTTGTTTTTAAAGACATTGTATTCGCCGCAGAGAACAGTAGCGACACGACCACGCTCTATGATAGCTGGCGCCAAACTGTGCCACACGCCCTCCCGCATGGCCTTGTAGGTGCTCGCTAACAGCACTCGCCCCAACAGCCTGGTAAAGACTATACGGGGGATCCTTACTTTTGTGTTGTACCTAGCCTGGAACAGACACTATAGTAATGTTACTGTCACTTGGTGACGAATGGCGGTTGTTGTGTGTGAACATTCACAGTTATATAGTTGCACCTATGCTTACGTCCGTGTGTGTGTGTGCTCTTGTTCTCCTGCAGCTGGTCCAAAGAGCGCAGGGTTCTTCTGGTCATGTCACCGGAGCGCAAGAAATGGACACAAATCCGTCCCTTCCCAAATCCTAAAAATGTGCCTCTGCAGTTTGATGTGAGTACAGCGTTGGTCTTCGCTGAGTGGTCTCATCAATCCGTGCCGCCCTTGGCTATTGGGGAAACCGCACTTTCTTTTCAATTAACTACCTCACCTGGAATACGAAAGGTCGTGGGTTCGATGCTAACCCTGATGCCTGCAGTATATTTGGAGTTTGCATGTCTCTCCCCATGGTTGCGTGGAATTTTTCTTCGGGTCCTCCGGTTTTTTGGCTGCTATAAATTTCCACTCGATAAAACACTTTGAGCGATCATTTGTGGCCAGGTCTCGTCTGAAAAAGAGCTACATAGCTCAGTGGGACTTATCTGGTAAAATAAAAAATTGTTAAATTTTAATCTGACTGGCTGAGTGGTACTTTCATTAGAGTACTCAATTCATTTGGAGGTCGACTTGGCTCATAATTCATCTAAGTACCAAATTTTAAACAGAAAGAAACTGTTTAGTTAGCTCTTTCAGAACTACATCCTCACATTTGCACTGAGAAGAATTCACAATTAGGTTGAAACCATCAACACATTTATAGTCTGGCTTTGACTTTTTGACCGCTTATACTAGGGGGCCGGTAACCAAAATAACAAGAAGGGCCATTTTTTTCTAATTCGAGTTGTTATGCAATGCGAATACGAGACGGTGGGTCCTGAATAAATAAATGTCACGAGGAAGTTCCTTAACGAGCCGCATGTGGCTCCGGGTTCTGCAAGTTGCCACCGACCTCTGGCTTATGCAGATCTGCTGTTGTAAACGTCCTCTTGTGTGGTAATTCATTAAGTAGAGACCGACTCCGCCTTGTGAACGTGGCATTTAACACTGCCGGCTCATGGTGTCATGCAGACATGCAGACATGAGTGCTGCCACCATTGCTCGCTTCAGCCGGGAGACCCTTTGACTCTACAAGCGCTTTATCATAAAATATTCAGGCATTTCTAACATTGAGTGTGCGTGCCCGCCCATGAGAGTATCGGGCGGTAGCGGTTAGCGCCCTGCGCTACAAACCGGCGACCGGAGTTTGATTCCCACTCACGGCCAACACCAGTCCTGGCCCTCCCCTAGGTCCACTCGGCCTAAAATTACTACTTGGTGCAGTGTGTAATTAATGCCACTGGGGAGACAAAGGTGGCCTGGCGTGGTGCTGGCCACCCACCCCCTCGTGTGCCGTGCCGGCCTTCACAGGTGCTCGCTAACAGCACTCGTCCCAAATAGTCTGTTAAGGCTCCAGGGGGGATATTTGTCTTTGTCTGAGCAATGAGCGTGCACATTGGCAATGTGAGTCTGGGAGCTGCATCAGCTCACGGGAAGCTGCCCTGGCATAGCGAAGCTGCCCTCGCGTAGCGAAGCTGCCCTTGTGTAGTGAAGCATCGTCGTGGAGAGTTAAAGCGTCTTGTGTTGTTTTCCCTCCTGTTCCCCAGTTGTGTGCTCATGTGGCCAAGGGTAAAAAGTGCACGTTTTTGGGGAACTGCACCTTTGCTCACAGCCAAGAAGAAAAGGAAGTCTGGACCTACATGAGAGAGAGTAATAGTAAGTGTGGGTGGTGGTGGCGGTTAGTGGTGCTGCTGGGCATACATTGCATGAATTAGCATGGTTGAAACCTCCGATCAACACGGTTGGCTACGTTGCGGTGCGTATAAAGTTCAACATCTATCTACAAATCCGAGTTAAACCGCATGCATGCGCTGAGCTTGAAGCCCTTAGGTTTTTACAAAGCCAACTTCCAAGGCTGACCTTACCGCACACATTAAATGAATGACGAGTGTCGCGTGCATACACCAGCACTGGGGAGACAAAGGCGGTGCTAGCCCTACCCCAGCCCCTTGTGCTAAGTGCTGACCATAATAATTGCTCACTAAAAACAATTTGATTCAAGGGTAAAAAAAAAACCTTTCCCTAAAGTAGCCGGGTGGCCCAGAGGTCAGTGTGCTGAGCCGGTCCTGCTGAGATCCTGGGTTTGAATCCGAGTGGGAAACCTCCCCATTAAACTGGATTTTCAAGTCCCGCGACTTGATCGTCTGAGCCGAATCGCTAATGGTCTCACTAAAAAACCTCTCGATTAAGTTTGGTTTTCAACCTAATTTGGTTAATTTCCAGTTCGGTGAAATGTAAATATTGGTTTGACTGTCGTGCACCTCCGATTAGCGCGTTTGGCTACGTACAGTGCGAAAGAAGTTCAGCATACATACATGCGACGAACAGTCTCGGAGTAGAATGTTAAACCTGCAGCCACTCTCTGGCAAATGGAACAAACTGTAGGATTTATAAAAGGATTCTTAAACATATGGCATGATGCTGACAATACAATTCAAATATTTTTAATATGAACTAACCTACTAGGGTGGCACTGTTATTTGCCAGTGGTGCCACTTCCACGAGATTTACCGAGACCTGTGTGTGATGTTGAACCTGTTTAGGACCAAGGTTCTGACATAAGTAGCTGCGATTCCACTTATTTTATCCAAAAGATGCCCTTTAATTGCTTTGTCAGTTTCAGCACTGTTTACCAGTTCACAGTAATTGTTGTTTTACATCAGCGGTCATCTGTTTTTGGAGTTGCATAACAGCATTGCAGCGATGCCTGAGCCAGGCCCTGGCGCCATGCCCTGTCTCTTGACGCCAGTTAAGGAAACGGAGAAGCTGTATGAAATTTGGATGGAAACGCACGGGCCCAAGGCAGCGGCTAAGGACACCACGGGCGGGACTCTGTCGGGCATCAGTGGCCAGTGCTCGGAGCACATCTCTCTGCCTACCGACTATGCAGACATCACGGTGAGCAGCGCCACACGCGGTGGCACACAACTCGCTCCCTCAACGTCACTCGCCGCTCCGGCGCTTAGAAGAATACTGAGACGCGACCGTCTTTATGCATGACGCAGACGAATACGAGCAATTTGGTACTGCATAGCTTCACGATCGAAATAATATTGAGCCACGTCGATTATAATACTCCAGGTGCGCACGTAACACTTTGATGTGAACATAAATAGACCATTGACCCTTTCCCGTTCAGAGACGTCTGCAAGCTGCAGGGTGGGTGTCCCGTTCACCGCTGAATCTCGGAGCGCACAAGCGGTTAGCGTTAGTTTTATTTAGAGAGACATAGGCATCATTGTTTTTAAAGACATTGCACTCACCTGCAGAGAACCGTAACGACACCACCGCATTCTACGATAGCCGGTGGCAAACTGTACCACACCCCCTCCCATGGATCAGCGTGTGTGTGTATAGGCTGATCCATGGTGCAGAAACTCGGTACCGATGAAGTTATTTTTTTTTTACTTCCGTTCAGTCACATTTGTCTGTTTGCAGTTTTCTTCTATATTCCATTAGCCTACATACAGGTGTAAGATTTGCACAATGTATTAGTAATCAGTTCTCACGCGTGCAGTTGAATCCCTGTATTGTTTTGAACATTGGAGGCTCGTGAAAGATGCTGCTGGGCAGTTGGAGACAGTCGCCCTCCAGCAACAACGGAGGGCGGAGGAGCGATGCTGACGACAACGAGCGGGGCCCCGTGCGGCTAAATCGCAGCAAGTTGGCATAGTAGGGGGCACAGCTGATTCATCTGCCAGCCATCTCAGTCAGTCAACCCATGGCACCTGTGCCTGGCCGGTGACCTCCTGTCCGAGAACCTTCGACACCTCACATGGCCTCTAAGTGCACCTGGCCTGGTACAGGCACCGTGGTGACGTCACAGCTCTTTGGTAGCCATTTGTGGCTATTGTTGTTGGGAATCGTGAAGGTATGTATCGTATGTCATGTTGTGCATGGTGCGCTCATGCCGTGTGCGTGCCTGTGTGCTGCTGCTACTCCTGCTCCTGCTGCTGTGTGCCACGCCTGCAGACCGGCTACCACTGCTGGCTGTGCGGCAAGAACTGTAACGGTGGGAAGCAGTGGCAGCAGCACATCACGTCGGAGCGGCACCGCGACCGTGTCTTCCTGGACGATGATGGGCAGAATTGGCAGCATCGCTTCCCTGCTGGGGAGTTCTCTCTGTGCCCGTTGTGCGTGATCACACACAGCCACCCAGCAGCCCACACTCGCTCACACTCACTGGCTCGTGGTGCATAACCACCATCGAGCAACCCACACACACTGACTCATGGTGAATAACCACTATCCAGCAACATACACACACTAATCCATGATGCATAACCACCACCCAGCAACCCACACACACGCTGATCCATGGTGCATAACCACCACCCAGCAACACACTGGACTGTGGGGGAAACACATAATTTTGTGGCCTTTAGGTCACTCCAGCAAACTCTGCTTGCTTGGAAAGCTCTCCCTTCACAAGTATCTGCCCATCTCTAGTAATGTAGAATGTAGCGGCTGACCCGGATGAAACCATTACTCTCTGGATGCTTTCCTTCAGGTGCACTTGGTCTGTCCGCTGCGAGGCTTTATCCTTCCCCCTGAAGAACCACTTTGTCCTCGCTGCTCACACCACTCATTCATAAAACACATTCCTTTATTGTTAACTAGCTTTACTACCTGGCTTCGCCCGGGACTTGGATTCACCACGCCTGGCCGCCTTTGTCTCCCCAGTGGCGATGTTCACACACCACACCAGTTACTCGTTTGAGGCTGAGTCGACCTAGGGGAGGCCCAGAACCGGTTAAAATAATCGTCACCGGTGGTGGCCGTGAGCGGGAATCGAACTCGGGTCGCCGGGTTCGTAGCGCAGCGCGCGAAGCACTATGCATGCGCGGGTCACATGACAGATGTGATGTCACAGCTCACTTGCCGTGCAAAAAATATGCATTATTGCACGCCCCCCCCCTAAAAAAATACCAAAGTGTATTTTTATCATTTTTGCATGGTGTACAGTCTGGAAAGTACCTACATGGCAAATTTCAAGTTTTTTGCATGTGGGGAAGTACGCTAAATATTTTGAACAGACACACAATCACAAATTTCCCTTTTATTGATATAGAAGATGTTAACGTGCTTTTCTCAAGTCATTTTGTTGAACTGTGGAAACATGGAAGGCATTGGCAACCAGGTATAATGAGTATAGGATGTCACCTGATTATTTATTAATTCTTCATACAATGTACAAACACGATCATTTTAAACACCTACGAACGAACGAGGGTTAATCTGTTGCTGTGAACTCGCTTAATTGTTGAAAGTACACTCCTTGTAACCTTTTAACCTTTGTTCTTGTTGCACTTCTGTGTCAACCACGGATGTGTCGATCACACCACACATATCCCAATGAGTATTATCATTTTTTAATAGTTACAATTGCTACTGCTGTAACAGAACAGGGCATCAATGCGTTGCACCGCGCCGACGATAACGGCGGAATTGTGACTGATTATTTTTTGTTGTTAAAAAAAATGAGGTTTGTGATTAATTTTTGTTGTTGTTTGTCATCCACACCATTTGTGCTGCTCAATCTCCTCCCCGCAGGATTGAGCACGGGAACATTTGTCCCGAAGAGAGCGAGTGCAAGTACGCGCACGGTGCTGCCGAGCTCCAGGAGTGGATCGAGCGACGGGATTACCTCAAGTCCAAACTCGCCAAGGCCATCAACGACAAGCTCATTGATGAACGGGGGGATTTCGGAAAATACAGCTTTCTAACAAAATAATATTCGCTTGTAACCCCCCCCCCCCCCCCCCGTTAAAATTGTTAATGGATATCATCTTATTTCATGCCAATCAGTGAAATGATGACAATATTTACAGCTTAATTGTAATATAATATTTAATCTTGCTTTGCATAGAGAATGTATTCAAATGCAAGATTAAACTGGGTGGTTGGGCTAAGAAATAATGAGAAATGTATTTGGTAAGAAATCGCGTGGCAGAATTACTTTGGCAGAATACACAACGATCCGTGTGTATTTATTTCCGTATCAAGCCGTTTGAGATATATACAATTATAGTTTCTTTGTTTAATGTGTGATTGCCATTTTGCATTATGGACCTGGGAGGCTTATCTCCACCGCACTTCACTCACGCTCTGGTTCCCGTCAGCTCGTGCCATGTGTGCGCTGCTTGCCTGCGTGCGTGCGCCTGTTTTGGAGCATGGTGCCATGTCCCCACCATAATATAAAGTTATTTTTTGGGGGGGGGGTTAGATCACGCAAGTATAAATGTGTCGTTAAACCCGCCACCACCACGTGACAGCTAATTAGTGAGGTTTGTCACTTCCACAATCTCTCCTTTAAAAAACCCTTTATTTTGGACAATATTGGTCGCAAAAGCGAATATGCATTTGCTTTCGTGGCTTGTTCAGGGCACCAATTTATTTTTTATTTACGGTATTTACGTCTTTTCCCCTCTTGCAGAAAATAAAAGTTGAACTTGCTCACCAGCCCTATAGGTTGCTGTGAACTGTGTGCGGTAGATTATTAGCCTTCGCACACACCGGCTTGCCACCTGACGCCTCGTTTCCATGCCCACTCGGAGGTGTACCAGAAGCGGCCTGGCCTGCAGCAGTGAGCTTTGGGAAAGAAACTGGATACCCCCCCCCCCCCCTCCGTGCTTGCCCATCAACAGCCCAGGAGCAGCAGTAGTAGCCTCTCCGGACCTGCTGCGCTTCAGAATCTGAATTTATACTGGAGGAGGAATCCGATGAGCTATAAAGTTCTTTGTCACAGATGTCCAACAACAAACAATACACAAACACGATAGGAGTGGAAGGTATAGTAAAGGTAAGCAAATCACTAAAAAATACAAATAAACATTTGTTACCAAGTAAAGCCCACCAAGCTATTTGCTTTTTCAGAAGTGACCTGGCCACAAATGATAGCTCAACGAAGTGGCGTATCACGTAGACATAGCCAAATACTTATTTGTGGCCATGTCGCTTCTGAAAAAGAGCTATGCAGCTCAGTGGGCCATACCTGGTAAAATAAAACGTTTTATAGTTGATCCAAACGAAAAACTCATATTTTTGGAAGAGAACATTTGTTTTTTTGTAATTCATGGGGTGGTGGGGGAAGGTGGTGAAGCAAAGGGTGATGGGAATATTATGAGGTCGCACTCCTTACACACACACAGAGTGCTTGTCACAAGTAAACCACAAGACATCTTGTCAAGGACCATAAACCATCACCCCAACTCCGGTCATCCTCACAGTAGTGGCTTTTGGCTCACCATTGAACAAATATGGTCACTGCATGATTTCAGATGCGCTTCTACAGCCGTCTGGAACACTCTATTTTACGAAATTAGGAAGCCACTTGAGCTGTCCACTTTTAAATCTAAATTGAAAACTCATTTCTTTTTAAATCCTTTTTGTGTTTAGTTGGCCTTCCCCTGCACCGTGGATGAGCACGGTTGGCTACGTACGGTGCGAAAGAAGTTCAACATTCATAGTCACCTGTGATTAAACTGATACTTAAGGGAGTTTATCATCTCAGTCCAGTCACCAATGACTACACATTTTTTAAAATAATGAAGCTTATTCGATGAGAAGTAAACATTTGTATTGATATATTATGAATACTCGCAGGACATGTAACATACACCTCGAGTGTATATAATGATATCTATTGAAGGGAATTGGAAGTCGTGTTGTGATATAACCACGTGGGGCCGTGCTCTGACAAGGTGGCCCTCGATGGGAGCTGCTCACTGTGAGAGTTGTGAATGGAACTTCCTTGGTCCCATCATGCCAATATTAGTCTAAAACATGGGTTTAGTAGGCACTCATTACACAATCGTTTGAGTACATGGCAGACATATCATGCCATTCTCGTTTTGACCAAAGCATGTTTACTTTTTTGGTTGATTGTATTGTTTTTAATTTCCATAATTTAGCCTTCATGGTTATTTTAAAGCTGGTAGAATTGTTTAATGTTTTTATGGTTGTGCATCTTTTAGGAGTTTTTCACGGTCTGTTTCTTTGGCTGTGTGCTTGGTTGTAAGCTGTGATTATGCATCTTGAAGTTGAATATTGCAATGGTGTGGAACTGTTGTCATTCTTCAATAGCTTTGGGTAGGATTAATTGACAGCAGTGTGATCTATTTACACGAAGTTGTGCTCAAAATTAATATGAACTCAACAAAAGATCATGTGACCAACCTGACTGACTGGCTGTGTAGGTTGGAGGTGGGTGTACGACATTTAAAGTTACGCGATCTCACCCAAAAAGCCTCGCATGAACATGTACAATACGTTTCTAAAGAATCGGTGATATCTATTGGAGGGACGCAACTTGAAAACAGCAGAATATTTATATACCTCGGGTATTGAAAGTGCACCGCAGCCAAAATTATGAAATAAATAGGTGGAGGAGAGCTGACCTTGATTTTGAAGCAACATACCAATGTGCCTAAAGAAGTAAGTGTTAACCAATGCGTACTACCACGACAAGTAAGACATGGGGTAGAAACATAGACGTTAAAGAAAATTATATGAATATCTGGAAATTGTGCAAAGAAGCGCGTACAGACGATACACATGCGTGGAATTACATGGCAGAATGATGGGACACATGGGATCAGAGAACATGACGTTTGAAGACAATTATAACGCAGAAAAGTGTCGCGAGGAGAGACCATGGACAATGGTCAAGAATAATTAGAGAGTACCAGCGAAGGGAGGGGGATGAATCACGTCCACCGTGGAGATGGAGTGGTCAATTCAGGACCGTGTGTCGGTGTTAGGCGGATTGTGGGAGGTGGTGACGGCCTGGGGAGGACTGTATAAACCCAAACAAAAATCACACTTGTCAGAAACAATGTTCATGTTATTTACTCTGAATGCATTAACGAGGATAACGAGGCAAGGGTTATCCCAACTGTGGTCGTCGTTAAAGACCCGTCCTGGTGAACTCTTAAGTATTACAACACATCAACAAGGCAAGGGCTGCTCCAACTAATGTGCATTATACTATGGTTACAGTTAACGCGTAGGTTTTTGTAGACACTATGATTGACGTGATTGTTTCTTGGGTTAGGCCACGTAATTAAAAGTAATGATTGTCACGCGAAACGATTGTTAACTTGCCAATTAATTTGGATATGTCGGGTGGTGGAGGGCCGACCACACCGATTGTGGCCTAATCCAAACATCAATTATGAATGATGCGATTTAATCTCTTGCAGTTAAATTGGCAGAATTCAGTGAAGCAAAACTAACATGTGGAAAACCTGCCGTTTTAGGTATTGATTGTTTAGAAAGTTAAAATGTAAACATCTGTTCGGCCAGCAAACGGGGAAATTGATCGCCACCCTATCCAGTGCCAGGGCTGCGATGAGCTGTTTTCTAAGGTTGTCTGTCTTTTTTGGAATGCGTTTGTTAATCGTAATAGATGATGCATTTGTGTGATATGTAACATTCACAAACAATAAAACTTTTGGCTGAAATTGACAGTTGTTTTGACACAATGTACGGCAAGGTATTGCTTAACGCGTGGCGTTCACAACGCGTTTTCGCAAGAACGTGGTTCAAACATTCGGGAAAACTACACCCTGCGGAACGCGCTTTGTTTTAACGCGAACTTGTCCCGCTATAACGCGCTTTCTGAGCGGTCGACGACAAACTACTTCCTTGAGCTGCACAGCTGATAAAGCAACGCTGACGCTATCTGTCCCGCCATCTCGCTGTGTGTGTGCGTCCTCGCTTCGTATCTCGCCAAACGTTTTATCGTTACATTATTGGGAAGTTACTTCCGTTTAACGTGGCTCTGTTCAGGAACGCATCTACCGCATTAAACGAGGGCGGCCCTGGATTAGCACGCTTGGCGACGTACGGCGCGAAAGAAGTTCGGCATAGATTGTGTGTGTGGGCACCGACTGCTGGCAGGGTCATGCCGAGCCGAGCAACTACTTACAAACAGTTTAACACGCCACCAGTATTATCCATACCATAGTCAAGGTTTTTGGGTTAGATCGTGTAAATTTAAATGTGTCGTTAAACCCGCAACCACCCGACGCAAGCCAATCAGGCGGACAGCCAAGATAATCATCAGAGTTGTATGAACAACTCTGGTTCGAGTCGTAGGGTTTTACCCTTTTAAACTGGTACGAAACTGACACCTTTATTCAAGGCATCATGTTTGCAATGACCACAACACAAGTAGTCAAAAAAGCAAACAAAAAGAAGCAACTCTGATAATAATATGCACTGTCTTTGAAGTTGATTGGTCCACACCCGAGACGGCTTTCTTTAGAGCCTAGTCCCCATTGGTGTTGGACCAGATGACACCAGAAGGCGTACAACTCAAACACAGTGCAATATCAGAGTATTTAGAGCTCGGGGTAAGCATTTACACTATGAGATCTCTTTTACCAGTGGCAAAATATAGTAATAGGTTTTTACCCTTTTAAACTGGTACAAAACTGGCACCTTTATTCAAGGCATCATGTTTGCAATGACCACAACACAAGTAGCAAAAAAGCAAACAAAAAGAAGCAACTCTGATAATGATAATAATATGCACTGTCCTTGAAGTTGATTTGTCCACACCCGAGACAGCTTTCTTTCTCTGGTTCTTGCGGTAAACACAAATCAAGACAGAGTTGTATTCTTAAAATGTGCCACTAGAGGGCAGTGGAACCACGTGGCGTCACGGCGGCGGGGGAGGGGGCTAGGGGGCGTCACCTGTCTCGACGCCCCGCCCACTTTTTTTGGGGGGGGGGTTGGTGTTCGCTCGCGCGCTCCGTGATTGGCTGTCGCGATCCTCGCGCCTCTCGTCCAATGGGAAGCTGCCGAATCGCCAGCAGTCGCGAATGTAAATATTGTTTTGATTTAAAACTTTCGTGACTGCAGAGATTAATATTCTTGGTTCTTTCGGTAAAGTCACGTAGAAGGGTAATAATAATTATTAAATGATTATTAAATAATTATTATTTCACTTCTACGTGACTTTACCGAAAGAAACAACAATATGTAAATATTGTTGTTTTTATGCGGGGCTCCTCCAATCGGAGAGCGCGACTCGCGGGCGGCCACGTTGGGTGGGGCGGGGCGGGGAAGCCCGGCGTGTTGATGACGTCACGCCGCCCGCCCGCTATATAAGCGGCGGGCAGGCGGCTTCCTCACCCAACGTGGCTGCCGTCAGCTGCGCGCACGTGTTCGCCCTCCCTCCTGCCCGCCCGCCCGCCCGCCCGCCCGCCCGCCCTTACACGTGGGGCGACGATTCCCAGGGAGGCGTGAGCGTGAAGGAGGAAGAGGGGAGAGTCGTGAGAGGGGAGGAGGAGGAGGGGACTGGAGGAGGCGGGTTAGTAGCCGGTCAACCCCCCCCCCACCACCGCTACCACCGCGCTCGGCATGCGCGCTGGAGCCGGGCCCGAGGAGCGAGTGGAGCTGCGAGCGGAGCCGGGGCCCGAGGAGCCTCTGTGGAGTCGCATGGGCGGCCCCGCGCTCTGCGGCCTCGCCGCGCTCGCAGCCGCCACCGCGATTCTGCTGCTCGCCGTGGTGCACAGGTGGGGGGTGGGGGGCCACTGGGACACGGGGAGACCTGAGCATGGGGGGGCACGGGGAGATGGGGGCCCCACGGGGGTAGGGTGCACAAGAAGATGTGTACAACAGGGGTGCACGGGTGGGGGGCACTGGAAGAAAGGCTGAGGTTGGCGGGGGTGGGGGGCACAGACGGGGAGACCTGAGCATGGGGGGGCACTGGGAGACAGGGGGGCCCACGGGGGGGGGGGGGGGGGCACAAGAAGATGTGTACAACAGGGGTGCACAGGTGTGGGGCACTGGAAGAAAGGCTGAGGTTGGCGGGGGAGGGGGGCACAGACGGGGAGACTGGAGCATGGGGGCCCACGGGGGGTACTGGGGTGCACAAGGTGTGCAACAGAGGGGTGATCAGCACGGGGAGACGGGAGAACACGATAGGTACGCGGTGGGTATGGACATCAGGGACAGATGACGGGAGCCGGCAGCGCTACCGGGGTCAAGGCTCCATCGGTCAAGGCTAGGGTTGGTGGGTCACGAATTTGCGCCGTCTCGCGATTATATGGGGAGGTGGGGGTTGCTGTGCCGATGTGCTTTTGACAGAGCGAGGAATTCGCGTGGAATTCGCCAGCCCACGTGGACGGCTGTAGCCGCACAGATGGACACAAGTCGTGGTTTGCATGGGGGGGTGGTGGGGAGGAAGTGGTGAGGTGTAGGGGGGGGGGGGGGCACGGGACGTGATAGAGACACGGGAAGGTGCCATGACAGGACAGGTACATAGACGTGGAGAGAGACGTGGGGGAGAGAGAGGAGGGGGAGAAACTTTGTGGAGTGAGTGAGAGAGAGGGTGAGAGACTGACGTGAGACTGTTGGGGCACACGAGGGGCTGGTGGGACGTCCCCACTGGCGACGTTTACTCGTTTGAGGCCGAGTCGACCTAGGGGGCAGGAGGCGGCCCAGGGATCGGTTCGGATGATCGTCACCGGCGGTGTGGCGCCCCGGTCCCCGCACCACAGGCGCGTGGGGGGTTGACGACTTGGCGATGGCCACGTGGAGTTATTGACTTTTGACACAGAAGCGGTCCGTGCGTGGTGACCTCCCCCCTCCCTCCCTCCTCGCAGCCGGCACCGCCTCGACGTTCCAGCGACGTTCCTGGACCTCCGTCGTCAGGATCTTTACGGATGAGCGGAGTTCACGATGGATGTCAGCAGGAGTAGCCCGCCGGGGTTTTCCCCCCGTCCCTGATGTCATTCCACTTTAGTTTATTAGTTTATTTGTCTTTTACCCCCATGCAGCCGAGGGATTGATTTTGTTTGCAAAAGTTTGATTTCGACTCTGCTGCCCAGCCGCATGAAGTGTTCCACTCAATACTCTGTTTAGTGGCTGCTTGAAGGAGGTAGTAAGCATTGACGTTGAAGTCTGCTTACTACGGTGGGGGGGGGGGGGGTGTTGGCTCACCTCTCGTGTCCAGCCTCGGCGTCTCCCTAGGAGTGAAACGTGGCTCCTGACACCGCAGAGCAGAGTGGTGGTCGGGCTTTCTCCCCCCCTCCTGCCCCGTATGGTGCCGTGCCAGGCAACATCGCCACCTCGGTCGTCACGGTGGCTAGGAGATGTTAACTACCTCGCCTGGTGTACAGGAGGTCGTGGGTTCGATCTCGACCCTGACGCCTGCTGCTGGATATTTGGAGTTTGCGTGTCTCGCTCCCCCGCGTGGTCGCGTGGATTTTGGTCACCCCGTGGTGCCCTTATAAAACTCAACGTTTAACCTACTCACGCCGGCTTGTGCCTGCCCGCACAGTCGGCCATATTTGCGGAATACACCACGCCGCCGTTGACCCTGGCCATTGACCGAGTAACCCAACGATCCTACCAGCTCCCTCCGCAGGAATGTGTTTATCCCTGCTTCCCTCTAGACCTCAGCTCACTCTGCTGCTAAACTCCTGGTTCACTACCTCGTCTTCACTGAACTTGACTCCTGCCACCTCTCGTCTTGTCGGCCTTCCTGCCCGATGCCTTGACTCCTCTCCAATAACAGATGCACAACGCCCCAGCCCGAAATAATTTTCAACCACCCCCTCCATCACAATTCCCACAATTCTGCTCTACTTTCCCAACTCTGCTGGCTCCCTGTGTGCTATCGTGGTCTCTTTAAATGTCTCACTCGAGTCGACATCCATTCATGGTCTTGCCCCATCTTCCCATGCTTCTCTCGTACCTCACGACTCTGTCCCATCCCATCCTCCCCTTCAATGGAACCAACTCCCACTGCACATAAAACAATAATCTTCACGATAACCTGCTTACCTTCCTCCCTTAAAACAAACCCCATCTCCTCTCCCCCAGCCTATCATCCTGCCACTCCTACTCCCTACCCCAACTCTTATCACTACCTCTTATCATTACCCCTAACCCTATCACTACCTCTATCGCTACCCCAACCCCTATAGCTACCCCTACCCCTCCTTTGCTGTCCCAGCAGTTCTCCTAACCATCACCGTAACTGCACCACCACTACTTTTAATAACCCCGCTCTGTATGTCAACCACTATCATATGTACAATTTTTAATGGCTGTGAAGCTCCTTGGAAGAAGGCGCTATATAAATCTAAGATAAGATGCGGGAGACCGATGAGATATGAGAACTTGATCCTGCCCGGGCAACACGGTAAGCATGTTGAACTTCTTTCTTACTGTACGTAGCCGACCGTGCTAATTAGAGGTGCGGGGGAAGGACAACAAACTAAACACGAAAAGCAGTTCAAAATAATTCGTTTTAAACGTCGATTTAAAAATTGATAGCTCCGATGGCTTCCTAACATCGGAAGAAAGAGCGTTCTAGACGGCCGCAAAGCACATCTGAAGTCGCACGATGCACTTTGACCGTCTTTGTTCGATTCTGGCTCGTAGCCGGCGGGAGCGGCATCGAGCGGACCGTCGAACCAGGGATAAAGCGACGTAGTGCCCAAGCGGTCGTGCCTACTGCAAGCCTGCCCTCCTCCGTCTCTCCCCGCGTGTGCGCCCCACGCGTAGCCGAGGGGGCAGCGTGGAGCGAGAGGCGTGGCCGGCGGCGCCGCTGTTCCGCGGGGCGTCGCGCGTCGTCGACCTGCCGCTGGGCCAGCTGGACTGGGCGGAGCGCCTGCGAGCCGACGCTGAGGTCTGCGTGCTGGTGCTGTACGCGCCGTGGTGCGCGCGCTGCGTGCGCGCCGTGCCGCACGTGGACCGCGTGGCGCATGCCCTCGCCGGACAGGTGAGAGCCCTTTGCCCGCCGGACAAGGTGAGAGCCCCCTTGCCCCCCGCAGGTGAGAGCGCCCTGCCCCCTACGTAGGTTTCCGCCACCGATATTATTCGCAACAACGCTTTTTTCCTTTGGGTGAGATCGCGTAAATGTGAATGTGTCGTAAGCCTGACAATGCTGGTTGCCATCGCCAGCGCAGCGTCACAGTACTCAAATTGTAAACGTCGTGGGTTTGCGCTCCAACACAGCGGTGTGCTGAAGTCGTAACCCATTGGCATGTTTTGTCACGTGAGTGGAGTTGGGTTTTACGACACATTTACAATAACTGTAAGGCAGTAACATTTCTTTTCCACAATTTGTACGCTTTGTTAACCTTGTTCGTGGTTTTTACGTATTTTGTCGCGCCGATAAAAAATCGAAACGCCGTCACGCTTTTTGTAAATGGCAGCAGCAATAACAACAACAACAACAACAACGTGCCTGTATATTGGTGCTGGGCGCTTAATCATTTGGCACGAGGCGATTGCAGGCGATTAACGATAATCGCCTGCAATGGCTTCGATCAAAGCATTTTACAATAATTTAATGCTGGCATAAAACAAGCAGCTTGGCAGCAGTTGTTGTGCACATGGGGAAAGTGAATTGTTGTTTCAACTGGGCTGGCTTTGGTCTCTTTGCGATATTTTAGGCAAGGAGAGAGTAACCACTGTTAACCCGCTCCCATTCCGGTAACGTTCTTGTTCTTGTGCGTCATCGGAATGGGAAGTAACTTTATTGGTACGTCTTCCGACCGGGAGGGCGTGTGGCACAGTCTGGCGTCGGCTATACGTCGAGTGTGATCGTGCCGCTACGGTTCTCTGTCGCGAGTGTAACGTCTTTAAAAACAACGCCGCTGCTTCGCCTCTCAATAAAATCACCGTTGAGCGGCTTGCGCATTCCGAGACTCCGCGGCGAACGGGGCACCCACTCTGGGACTTGCAGACTTCTCAGAACGAGAAAGGGTTAACCGTGAGTGTGTGAGTTACTAGAGGGAATAAACTCAACATCAGAATCTGCGCTGGAACGTCCCATCCACCTCTGCTTTCAGGTGCTGTTCATTGCGGTGAACTGCTGGTGGCCCAAAGGGAGATGCAGACGAGAGATGAGCTTCTCTTTCTTCCCAGCGATCCACATCTACCACACCGGGTAAGGCGGTGAGCAGCCCCCGTAGTCCACATTGTCTCGGCCCTGAGGCCTGCCTGTGTGGCACAGCAACAATTAACGCACAGAGCATCGATGCTGCAGCTAGCACCAACTTTGACAAAGATCCCCTGTTTTAGCCTGAACACTTTTGTGGGGCGAGTGCTGTCAGCGATCAGCTATGAAAGCCCGCCACGGCACAGGAGTGGGTGGATTGTCAGCACCACGCCCAGCCACCTTTGTCTCCCCGTTGGTGATGTTGACACCGTACCAGTTACTCGTCACAGCCGAGAGTTAGAAGTGCTATTTGATGCATGGCTTGTTCAGCCAGAGCAAAAATACCCTGCTCTGGTGGAACACGAATTGTCTGTCCAGTGCTCGCCGAGCTGCATTGGCTTCCCATTGCTGAACGAATACATTTATAGTATCAGGTCGTACTAATTACACACAAAGTGCTTGCCACAAATGATGTCGTCAAGGAGCATAAACCGTCATGCAAACTCCGGTCATCCTCGCAGCAGCTTTTGACTCCGCCATCGAACAAAGACTGTCGCCGTATCGTGCGCTTTCAGATGTGCTTCTGCGGCCGTCTGGAACGCTCTTCCAATATTAGAAAGCCACTTTTAAATCATCTAGATTGAAAACTAATTTCTTTAGGACTGCTTTTTGCTTTAGTTGTCCTTCCCCGGCACCCCCGATTAGCACGGTTGGCGATGTACAAGCTCAACACACATCCGTGTTATGGTGACGCCTCCTGAGTTTTGCCGCGGTGGGCGGGCGGGCGGCCGCTGTAAGAATTCCGGGCGAGTGTCGTGGCTCCGTGAGCGAGTGGCTCCTCGTGCCGCAGGCTCGGCCCCATCCCCTACGAGGGCCCGCTGCTCGCCTCCTACCTGCAGGCGTTTGTGCAGCGCGTGATGGTGCCCGTCACGCACGTCGCCACGCCGCACCACCTCCTCGACTTTCTCGCCACGTCGGAGGTGAGCACTGGCAGAACCCCTCCCTCCCTCAAACTCCGGTCATCCTCGCAGCGGCTTTTGGTTAACCATCGAACAAAGACGGTCACTGCATTGCACGCTTTCAGATGCACTTGTTTGGCCAACTGAAACGCTCTTCCAATATGAGGAAACCGCTGGATCTATGAACTTTAAAATCTAAATTGAAAACTCATTTGTTTAGAACTGCTTTTTCTGTTTAATTTGTTGTACGGGGCACCTCGCGTGACACATGCTCTGTGATGACGTGACGAATGATGGCTGTTGTCGTGTGTGTGTCTGTGGCAATGTATGTGTGTGTGTGAACCTGGTGACCCGAGTTCCATTCCCGCTCATGGCCACCACAAGTGACGATTATCTGAACCGGTCCTGGGCCTCTCCTAGGTCGAATCAGCCTCAAATGAGTCGTCTTTTGAATACCTGTGTCTGTGTTGCGTCCCCTGCAGCCGGGTATCTTGGGATTTTTTGAGTTCAATGCATCTCCGCAACCGCCTGGGTACCTGGAGTTCTACCGTGCTGCCCTGCTGTCACTACAGAGAGGTAGGACAACACGCACGCACACATGTCGTGGTGCGCGGAGAGACGGGGACAACACACACACACACGTGGTGGTGCGCGGAGAGACGGGGACAACACACACACACGTGGTGGTGCGCGGAGAGACAGGGACAACACACACATACACGTGGTGGTGCGCGGAGAGACGGGGACAACACACACACGTGGTGGTGCGCGGAGAGACGGGGACCACACACACACACGTGGTGGTGTGCGGAGAGATGGGGACAACACACACACACGTGGTGGTGTGCGGAGAGACGGGGACAACACACACACACGTGGTGGAGCGCGGAGAGACGGGGACAACGCACACACACGTGGTGGTGCGCGGAGAGACGGGGGAAGCACGCGGCAAACGTCGCAAACGTGGCCTACATTCCACCTGTGCAACGAGGCTCCGTGCCACTCTTACTCCAGTTGTGCCGGTTGGGGTCGCGTCGTGAGATGCTTCCACAAGGAGCTCTCGCAGAAAGCAGCGCACCACGTGGAGTTTCAGTTTTCAGTTTCATTTATTTGGAATAGCCCTGTGAGCCATTCGGCTCTTGAATTGGGTGCAACCGCAACAAACAAAAGACAAAAACATGAACAAGAAAACATCTTAAAGTGACTATGTGCAAACAGAAAATCCAGAATACCAACGATCTTGACTGGAAGATGTCACAGCACCAGGCCGCGTTAGAGAAGGCACCTCTGGAAGATGAGGTCACAGGACTACTCCTGAGTTGCTTTAGCCACACGAGGTGATGCTCCTTTTCTCACTTCTCGGAGATGGAGAGTAAGGGAAAGGCATGGCACATCTATACAGGAAATCATCATCTGGTCTTCGGACGTCTTCAAGCTGCCTTCCAGTTCACAACACCGGCTCGGCACCTCTTGAGAAGAGCCTGCGTGTGGGGTCGGGGTTAAAATGCAGTTCACACAGAATCTATAAAAACTATTAAATAAAATTATTTTACCACGCGTGGCCCACTGAGCTTTGCAGCTTTTTTTTTCAGTAGCGACCTGGACACAAATTATAGCTCAACGAAAGTGGCTTCTTCTCACGTGGAAATGTATAGCAGCCCAAATCCTCTTAAACGCATGTTTATAAATATGGAGGGGAAAACCGGAGGACCTGGAGAAAAATCCACGGGGAGAGAGAGAGACATGCAAACTCCACATACACTGCAGACGGTCAGGGTTGGGGACGAACCCACTGTGGCAGCTACTCAGGCAGGCGATTTGTCCACATCGGTGGAGAGGCGCCTGATCGCCTAGATCAGGGGTCGGCAACCTGCGGCTCCGTAGCCGCACGCCGGCTATTGAAGGAGCGCTCCGCTACGTTACTTATTGGCGACCACCGTCGTGTATTCGCGTGCAATTGCGGCTCTTGAAATATTGAGTTTGTTACCGAATTAGAGAAGAAAAATGTCTCCCCTTGTTATTTTCGGTCGCCGACACCCCTGGCCTAAGTGTTCTAAAGCTGTAGAGATTTTAATTGTTTTCAAGTCCGCTAGGTGGCGCCACGAGCCGTAAGTTCACACGTGCCCAACCATCAGAGGTCGCAAACGGGTTTTGATTCCTTACCCTTACCCGGCCGCACCAGGGTCGCAAACGGGTACCCGTACCCGTACCCTGCCGGGTACGGGTAGCCGGGTATCGGGTAGGGTACGGGTATCGGGTACCCGGTTGCGACCTCTGCCAACTGTGCAGCTGTCCCGTAAAGCCCATTGAGCTATTAGTTATTTTTCGGAAGCAACCTGGCCACTATTGAGGGATCCAATATTCTTATATTGTCCACAATGACATGAATGATTATTTGATGTTATTTATTTTATATATACTTTCTTATGAAACAGGACCTCCTAGTATAAAGGGAGGGTTCTTTGTTTGTAAGATCGCTCCTTCACCAGCATTTATTTAAACAAGCCTGACTGCTGATCAGACACAATACTGGTCCAGAGTTTGCTTGACTTGAAGCAACGCTGCTGAAGTTGTGCACTCCCAGAAAGCCGTGGCTTGTTGATGGGTTGAGTCAGAACTGGTGGCATGTTTCACGTCAAGACAGGAGTGCGACGGAGACGTCTGCTTATTTATTGGCGCGGAATATTGGGTGCGCTCTCAGAGTCACCGCGGTGAGCCGTAAACAGGATCGCATTCACCGCCGCGTCGCGTCAACGCTTGGCTTGCAATGACTGCGCACCTCTTGGTCACCTCTGATAAACTCGGCGGCTGTTTCACAGTTGAAATCTGACCGCTATGGTCTCATCCTACAGCAGTGTTCTTAAATAATTTTCAGAGGTGGGGGGGGGGGGAAGTCGGTTTCGACAATAAGACATCATCAGTGTGAGGACCGCCACACATTTGTAACCATTAGGGGTTTGACAGCAGCACGATGATGGTGGGGGGTATTTTCACTGTTTGTGTATTGTCAGGGGCCGCACTCAAGGCCACCAGGGGCCGCCAGTGGTCCGCGGTGAGCCTTGCGATGAAGAACGCTGCTGTCCCCAACCCCATCCCCGTCCGAGTCTCGGGTGTCCTGCTTGGTCAGCTGATCGCCGGACGCCGCACTAATTCCCCGACTCAAATGGAGCCCTCGTGCTTGGTTGCACTGTTTTGACGAAGTGAAATAAAAAGCTCAAAATGACCACTTGAACGACGAAGGCAACTGCAACGCCGCGTGGTATTCCCCACACAGCCTCTCGTCCCAAATACTAACCAGGCGCAACCCAGCTTAGTTTGCCGAGATCTCATGAGATCGGCTGAATTTAGGGTGATTTGGTCATTTTCACGTGTAGTTAAATTGTGTTTGGAGCAGGTGTAAAATGAAAACCATGTGATGGCGAGTGCCTGCACTGGGTGTGATCGCCCGCTGCACATGGGTTCCGTGCGCACTCTGCGTGACCGCTCCTGCGCTTGGGTTCTGTTTCTCTCCGGCAGACGGTTCGGCGCCGATGCGGTTCGGCGTGCTGACGAGCGGCGGCGTTGCCCAGCTCGCGGGACTCGTGCGCCCGGGCTCCGTGTGCATGCCCCGCCTCTTCAACTCCACCGCGGTGAGCCACCCAGCGTCGGTCACATGGCCCAGGACCAGTGCCGGATTAAGCTAGTGCGCGGGGCCTGTAGCATATGTTTAGAAGTGGCCCTAAATAAGAGGGTCCTGCATTGGCTGATTTAGTTCTTTCTGTACTGGAGCGTTTGGCTTCACGTGGGGAAAAAAATTGGCACATTTTGAGGATTGACACTCAAAGCTTTGCACAGATGGGTCAGGAGGCTGTAGCTGCCATGTGGCGAGTAGTCCCGGTCATGGCCCCGGCGTCACGGTGGCGAGATGTGAACTACCTCGCCTGGTATACAGGAGGCCGTGGGTTCGACCCCTCCCCTTGACAATACCTGCTGTATATTTGGAGTTTGCGTGTATCGCTCCCTGTGGTCGCGTGGTTTTTTCTTTGGGTCCTCTAGTTTTTCCCTCCACATTTATAAACGCGCGTTGAAAAGGATTTGGCTGCTATACATTTGCACGTGATAAGCTACTTTGTTGGGCTATCATTTGTGGCCAGGTCGATTCTGAAAAAGAAGCTTAATTTCCCAGTGGGCCTTGCCTGAAAAAATAAAAAATAGGCTATCGTTTAAATTTGGATTTAAAGCTTTCGTGACTGCAGGGATTCATCTTCTTGGTTCTTTCGGTCAAGTCACGTAGAAGGGAAATAATAAAATAATAAAAATAAAACATAATAAAATACAATTCTCACGACGTTTCGGCCACAACGCAAGCAGCCGTCCTCAGGTGAAGAACAGGTCTGTCAGACGCTGTCTTTCCGACAGCCCTGTTCTTCACCTGAGGACGGCTGCATGCGTTGTGGCCGAAACGTCGTGAGAATTATTTTATTATGTTTTTATTTTATTATTTCCCTTCTACGTGACTTTACCGAAAGAACCAAGAAGATGCTATCGTTTAGTTTTTGTTCGAATTACCACGGTTTGCTTCAACACACACCGTCCGCCAGTGCTTCCCCCGCCGCCATCGTCACGGTGGGCTTCTGCGTTCCGGGCAGGTGTTCACCGAGACCGGCGCGGGCGCCACGGCCGAGACGCTGTATCGCTGGGCCGCTGGCGCGCGCCAGCCCCCGCCGCTGCAGTGGCTCCGGCCCAGCGGGCGCAAGAGCCTGCTGCTCAACACGGAGCTGCGCAAAGGCCCCGCGCTCATCCTCTTCCTGCCCTTCCGGCCGTTGCGCTCGGACGGCCACGAGCTCCTGCACATGGTAACCGCCGCTCGTTCGCGAGCGTGCCCGTGCGGGGCGGACGTTCGCCCCCCGGCTCTCCACTGCGACACCGATCGTTGTGCGGTTTTGTCTTCTGTTCGTGTTGTGCCGCTTGTGTTGCAATCGAAACGTCATAGTTTTTTGTTATTTTGTTATTTTCTTTGAGCCTATCTACGTGACTTTACCGAAAGACCCAAAGAATATGAATTCCTGCAGTCACGAAAGCTTTAAGTAAAGATTTAATTACCCAATGTACTATATTTAACACAATTACACTTGCTTCTGGTCTCTATCAACAGCGATTGGAGAAGTCTAGGCCCAGCTGGAGGCACGGGAAATGGACATTCGGAAGTGACTGCTTTCTGTTAACAAGTCATATTAAAAAAATAGTTTTCATTCGTAAACAATTGGATACAGTATACGTTCCATTAGTTTAATTATGGGCAGTGTTAGGGTATATATTCGAAGAAATGATATGATACAGGTCGTGATAGAAAATAGACGATAGCGCAATGCAGTACTGAGAGAAAACTAAAACAGTAATCACCTATTTGCGGCTATGGGATTTTATCGTTCATTTTGGGGGGAAATTGTTAAGTTTCCGACATGCGGAAAATTCGGGTTTATGGATCATTCACGGGAACCTCTAACCCTTCCGTCACCCAGGGACTGCCTGCGTAAAAATAATGTTTTACCGAGTTCACTGATTGGTTGACTCTGATAATATTGGGCCGACTCGGCACTTCACTTTATCCGGGCGACTAAATGAAGAGAGAATGGCTCCCCGAAATCCGCAATCTAAGTACTGCTCTGTGGTCCATTGGAGACGAGGACTCCTTTTCAGCGAGGCCTTGACAAGGCGTTGGGTGAGTGTCGGCACGCCCACTTGTGTCGTCCCCAAATGGAGGCTTCCACAATCATCATCATCTTTGCATTCTCTTTTTTTTGCATCTCTTGCCGCCACCGTCATGTGAGGTTTGGTGGATCGCAATCGTGTGATCAAGCTCCATTCCCGTGGGCGCTTAGGTGCTATGCCCTAGCCCGCCAGGAGAGGGCAGTGTAGCAGAACGTGGACTGCGTCTGTTCCACCTGTATGGAATTAATTATTGCCCCTTGGCACGCGAGAGATTTCACCGCGTGTTCTGGTTTCCTCCCACATGTAAATACGCGCTGCGTCTTTTGGCTCGGCCATCGACCAAAGACGGTGGGTCGCCGCATTCGCGCGCTTTCAGATGTGCTTCGGCGGCCGTCTGGAACGCTCTTCCGATGTTAGGAAGCAACCGGCGCTGTGCACTTTTAAATCATCTAGATTGAAAATTCATTTATTGAGAACTGCTTATTGTGATTAGCTTGTTGTCCTTCCCCCGCACCTCCGATTAGCGCGGTTATCTACGTACGGAACATACGTGCATATAGAGAACGGCAGAGCTTGGGAGGGAATTTGATGCCGGCTCACCGCATGGCTGCCCTCCCCGCTTGTTTTGTGGTTCCTCTTGGCGCCTCCGAGTCGTTCCCGGTCTTGCCGGAATGCGTCGCCATGCTGCAGCAAGCCGCTGTGGCGGGGGAGGGGGTTACACTGGGGCATAAGTGAGGTTATTTTGGGGTTGCACGCGATTTGGCGGGGTGCTAGGAAACGCATCCTACGTCCAAGCAGGGTGCGTGCACAGAAAATGTTCCGCGTCGCACGGCGGCGATGCGTGCCCGTGTCGTCTCCCAGCACGCGCTGGATTGTGTTTCGGTCTCGCTAAGCTCTACGGCTGAAATAGCACCAGTCATCGCGGAAAGTTCTTGATGGGACTCGAGTGAAATCTGTATTGAAAAGTCAATATTGATTATATCTTGCCCCCTCGGAGGAGACAGGGAGGGTGGTGGTGGTGGTGGCACAGAGGAGACGTAGAGGGTGGTGGTGGCACAGAGGAGACGTAGAGGGTGGTGGTGGCACAGAGGAGATGTAGAGGGTGGTGGTGGAACAGAGGAGACAGGGAGGGTGGTGGTGGTGGCACAGAGGAGACAGGGAGGGTGGTGGTGGCACAGAGGGAGATGTAGAGGGGTGGTGGTGGCACAGAGGAGACAGGGAGGGTGGTGGTGGTGGCACAGATAAGACAGGGAAGGTGGTGGTGGCGGCACGGAAGGATGTGGCCTTGAAGGCCACGCGAGGACATCCTGACGTGCAGCTGCCACTTCCCGGACGCGCGTCAGCTCGGACACCGTCGCGTGCGCTGGTGCGTGCGGATGGGGGTCGCGCTTGTTTCTCTTTTGATTTCTCCAGAGGAAGACTCGGACCCACAAAACACAAGGCCGTGCGTCGCAGGCTGTCTCCCCTGAGTCTGAGCCTCTGTGGGTCGGGGAAACGTAATGCCCCCCCCCCCCCCCCCTTTACGTAGTGGCCAGGCTCTCGTGTTGACGTGACGAAGGACCCGGTGAACTTACTTCCCCCCCCCCTCCCCCGCTGGGGTTTGGCACCGGTGACCCTGCGATTCGCCTGGTGCTCCCCGAGCCTAGGATCGGAATCGGAGTTATTTTAAAGACTGGCGGAATCCAACGAGCTACAAAGCTTTTTTTTTTCACCAATGTCCGGCGGGGTCTCTGACGAGAACCGTGACGAGCCCGTCCACGTTGAGTCGCGCGAGAGGCCCCCGCGCCGGAGTGTCGCGTCCCTTTTGCGAGGGACGCTCGTGTCCGAGCCGTACGCGTGGACGCTGCTGCGTTCTTGTCGACTGGGGAAGCGTTGCCGCCTCGTGCAAGAGACGAATATTTGTCTACCTGCGCCCGAAGTTCGCTTGCCAGCGGAGTCGTGACACCGTTCATTATTCACACTTTTGAGCGGCTGCGTTCAGAAGAGGGACGTGGTCCGTAGCAGGGGGGGAGGCGTTGCGAGCGGAACTTTAGCCAGGCAATTGGTTAATGCTGCATAGTGCAGTTCTTCATTCGCCTAGGCTGACGGTGCATTTGCATATCTCTGAAGGGCGTGTTGTTTTAAAACTTGAATAGCTTAAACTAGCAACATTTTACCTGTTGGCAGCGCCACAGGAAGGGGGGGGGGGGGGGGGAGCAGAGTCAACGAGATTAATGAACGGGAAGAAGAGCAAAGAACGGGAGAGGGAAGAGAAAGAATGGGGAATGAGAGGAAAAGGAACGGAGAGAAACGGGCACAGGTTTTCTGGGGAGATGTGAGGGAGGGAGATGCCGCAGAGAGGCCTCGACACTGCTGCACAGAGCAGAGTCTGCTTTCACAGGGGGCGGCGTCTGCTTTCACAGGGGGTGGGTTAGAGGGGAGGGATTCAGAGTGGCAGTGTCCCCCCCACCACCTCACAACCTCACCCCGCCCCCCCCACCACCTCACCCTGCCCTGCCCCCCCACCACTTCAACCTGCCTCCCCCCACCACCTCACCCTGCCCCCGCCCCGTGGAAATTCAACCAAACGGAATAACTTGTCACTGGGGGTGGGTGGGTTTTGCCTAGTAAAATAAAAATAGTTTAGTTTTAGTATATTTATGTTTATTTGCCTACCTTTCCTATACTTTCCGCTTGCATCGTTATTTTACATTGTTTGTTGTAACTTTTTGACCGCGCGCGCCCTTGCTGGACATCTGTGTAGAAGAGCCTTCGTAGCTCATTGGATTTCTCCAGGAGAAAAAAAAAAAGACACTCCGATTCTGATAAAGATTCCAATCTGTGAGAATCGCTACGCGATGTATTTTTTATTGCGCGGTTTAAGTGAGCGGTCGCCACGCAGACATCCTCGCTTGCTTGTTGCCACGCGGGTCCGCCGAGTTCGCTGACCCCATCGACGAGGGAGGAGGAGGAGCAGCAGCAGCGGCGGTGGCGACCAATCGGTAAACCGGCGTGCGTGCGTGCGCCGCCTCGGGAGAGCTGCAATGCAGCACGGCGCAAACGGCAGCATCCACACACCAAGGCGTGTGGATTCGTGCCGCGTCTGCTTTTTGCTCACGTTAGTTACAATTATAACATCACGCCCGTAGGTGGTGGGGGGGGGACTGCCCGTGAAACCGTGATGGTATGATAGATGATGACATTCTAACATCGTACAGGAGTTGAACGTCTTCGTGTGAAAATAAAAAAAAACCAAGGCTGTTTATCGAGTCTGATGGTGGCTGTGAGCCAGTCACGTGGGGTAAACCAAGGGCAGAACCCCAACCAATTTTCACCCAGGCAAGCCGAGAGCACAGACTTGGATGTTTCTTCACGTATCGCGATTCTAACAACAAACCATTGCGTTTAGTTAAGAACCTACAATAATCTAAATTTATCGCAAATATACAACCTAAAAAATAAAAATGACATTTTTTTTTTTTACGTAACATCTTTATCGGTGATTCTCGTTGTGTCTGGGACCCTGTTGAGGCTGCCTATGACTCGGCCCAACCTCTGCCCAGACGCTTTGTTCCCACAGCACAAACCACTTGCGCTGTCAACTCTAACCTAAATCACGTCGCTGACAACCATTCCCTTTTGATGGGCTGTCACGATGATAACTCGTCCTACCAATGCAAGCACTGAATATTCCTTGGCAAAGGCTATTATAAGAACTGTCCCGCTTGGTGCGATTTGTTTTTCCTTTCATCAAATATTCATGTCGTGTTCTCAGTGCAAGTAGCCTTAGGAGGGTCTGGAGTTGGCTCCGACACTTGCAGGGTTGAGCGGGAGGAAGGATGCAGGGCGTACTGTGCTTCCAGCAACGACATGGGGAGTTGTGACCTTGACATTTCCATCCATTCATCTTCCGCAGATATTATTACTGGGCGCCACGGTGGCGAGATGTTAACTACCTCGCCTGGTATACAGGAGGTCGTGGGTCTGAGGCCGACCCTGATGATGCCTGTTGGTTATTTGGAGTTTGTGTGTCTTTCTCCTCGTGATCGCTTGGATTTTTCTCCGGCTCCTCCGGTTCCCCCCCCGCATTTAGAATAATGCGTTTAGATATTTCCACACGATAAGCCACTTTGTTAAGCTATCATTTGTGGCCAGGTCGCTTCTGAAAAAGCTATATAGCTCAGTGGGTCTTACCTGGTAAAATAACAAAAATTTGAATAGTTTTTTTTTATAGTTCAATATAACGGTGCACGTGCTCTCACATTGTAACACTCATCTCTGACGACTGCGATACCAGTGGTGCTCCAAAATATTCATTTAATTTTTGAATTTGGCCAACTACTGGCCTGCCCGTTTTTGTCCTATTCATATTTGGCACAATTGTAATGTGATATTTTTTTTCTATACTTAATTAGAAGTTGGTTAAATTTTTGTCACGTCCGTTGACTCTTCTGTCTTCATGGAATGTTGGCCACAGGGTTATATTTTAACTGACATTAAAAGTTTTTCATGTTTATTCTTTCGGTTCATATTTGATCTGTTATCAATATCTGTTGAACACGTAGGCTTTAGCGACCAATATAATCCATAATAGAGGTTTTTGGGTAAATATATAAATGTGTCGTTAAAACCCGCCACCACCCGACACAGCCAACTAGGTAAGGGTTGTCACGTATTCTGCTCGGACGGGGTAGAAATGGTAAAATAACACGCAGTGTTTACCGAAAGAGAACGCATACTGACGCCTATCTGAATGCAGAGTCACACCATCACCCTGCACAGAAATCTGCTCTTATCAAGACGCTCATTCATCGAGCTAAGACAGTGTCAGATGGTGACAGTCTGAGAAGTGAAATTCAACATGTTAAAGAAGCGCTGCAAATGAACGGTTACAATGATGCACAAATCAACAGGGCATATGAATACCAAAAACAAATCAACTAACCAGGGCATTGAAACTGCCCAAGTAATTAAAACGATCAAAATACCGTACATTGCGGGAGTAACTGATAAACTAGCCAGATGTTTGGAAAAACAAAGCATCCCAGTCGGATTTGGCACAAATACTCCCAAATGCAACTGTCAGCAGTAGCAGAACACGCGTGCCAACAAGGACACTAGATTGATTTTGATAAAGTTTTGTGCAAAACTAGCTACTACTGGCCAAGACGAATTAGAGAATCTATCGAAATTGAAAGAAATCAAAATAATTTTAACCGTTCGGATAGCTACCGCCTTAGTGCTGCGTGGAAGCAAATCATCAAATAATACATTATTTAAATGCATGCCTACAAAGGGCGGCAGGGTACTTCAATAGGGATTACCGTTGGTTGGGCTATTTTAATAAACACAATTGACAGGAAGGACAAGTTCAAAGGGCTCGCATAATGTACGTTGCCTCGGTAATCACCCCCCCCCCCCCCCCCCCACATTGTGCAAGTGCGCAGCTGCGTGGTCAACACATCTACGCCTCTCTATATAAGGAACGAAACAGTAAGACTTCTCCACAAATCTGGCTGTCGCCTGATGAAGCTAATTGTAATTACTGGCGAAACCTCGTACCGGGTTTGTAAATGTTGTGGCTTGGCTCTCCAACACACCGGCGTGCTGTACTAGTGACTAATTGGCACGTTCTGTTTACGTGACAACCCTTACTAGTTGGGTGGTGGCGGGTTTTAACGACACATTTACGCGATCTAACCCAGAAACCTCTTATGGATTATCAATATCTATTTTACTTCTTCCCGTGTGATCACCTCAAATTCATCATGTACAAAACCCGATCAAGAACCCTGAATGAGTTGAGACAAAACACGACAGACGAAAGTTCAGAGATTACAAATCTTTGAGAAATGGTGGTGGCGGCAGCGGCGGTGGTGGTGCTGTCATTGGCCTGGCACGGCGCTGTGGTGGCGTCGCCGTTGCTCGTTGCCGAATGGGCGGGTATCGGTGCCGTGTTGTTGATTCATTCGTGGTGGTGGTGGTGGTCCCAGGCAGAAGAACTCGCCCTGGAGTACCACAACTGCGAGTGCAGCGACGCCGTGTCCCTGCTGACGAGACACCTGCGCGGCAAGCAGCGCGGTGCGGAGCCGGAGCCGCCCGCGACCTCGGCTCCCTGCTGCAGCTGCCTGCTGCTGCAGCCGCGGCCTCCGTCGGGACGCCCCCTGGTCGCGTGCGAGCTGTGCGCGCTGCCGCCGGTCCCCTCCTGCCCCGTCGGCCTCCCGGCCTTGGCGGCCCTGCCGCCCGCCGCGGGAGGCCGCGCTTCGTGCGACGGCCTGCGGGCCCAGGACGGCTACGGCACGCGGAGGTTCAGCCTGTGTTGCCGACGGCTTGGCCGCGCGGAGCCGGGGTCGCAGACCGGCGTGCCGGGTCCTCTCGCCGGCGGCCTGGGCGGCGGCTCGTGTGACGGCGGCGGCGCGGGGGCGGTGGCGGCGCTGCGGGGCCTGCGGTGCCGCACCAACCGCACGCTGCGCTTCTACGCCATGGACTCGGAGCTGCACTGGGAGTTTGCGGAGCGGCTGGGGGCGCCGTCGCCGCCGGCCCCCTCCCTCCCTCTCACGTTCGTCACCATCGTGAGCGTGGAGCAGGAGCAGCACCACGTGCTGCGGCACAACCACACGGTCAACCGCACGCAGCTGGGTGAGCAACTGCTTCGCAATCTCTCTTCGACCACAGTGGCACCACAACTGCTCCACGACCACCCCATAAACTGGAACCGCTCCAATGACAACTGCACCGCAAACTGCCCCACAACTGCCCCACAAGTGCCCCACAACCGCCCCACAACCGTACCACAACCACACGCTCTCTGCTGGGTGACTGACCTGACCACTCAATCCCTGCCTTCCTGTGCCCCAGCCACAATATCACCGGGGACTTGCAGGTTTCCATCCTATCCTCTTAGGTTCATTTCAGATCTCACTAGAATCGGCGCCTGCCAGATTTTACGAGCATCTTCTGTACTCGGGCCTCGGTAGTGGCTCGACCTGTCATGGGAGACAGACTGGGGAGGAGCCTTGCGAAGTGCTCTGCTGCATTGGCGGAGCAGCAGCGGGGACCGCCTCGAGCGCAGGGGGCCTGGAAGTTGCAATGCCCATGCATAAGAGGGGACCGCACTCTGCGTTCGTGATGCCCACTTTGCCGCACTGCCATTTCTCAGCCCACTTGGGGCAGCCCAGTGGGTTAATCGTGGCTGTGATCCACAACCCGTGCCTGGATCACAGCCGCAACATCTGGGTGTGTCCACTTCTGCGCGGAGGATGAATGCGCATTTGCGTCGCCCGTGTTGATCGTGTTTCCCACGTTGATTACGTTGCCCGTGTTAATTGCGTCGCCCGCGGCGATTGTGTCGCCGGCAGTCGCGTTCGTCGAGCAGTTCAGCCGCCATCACAGCAACCTCCAGCGGCACTTGAGCTCTGGCTGCGGCGTGGCGCGGCCGCCCCCCACCTCCGCGCGGCCGCCCCTCGTGATCGAGGTCACGACGACCACCTTCCGTGAGCTGGTGCTCGACCCGGCCAAGGTGGGTTCCCGCGGCATGGCCGGCGCCGGCGCTCAAGCCCCGAGCCTCGGCGCCGGTCTCGTACGTTATGTTTGCGTGAACGTGGGAAGGATGGCAAACTAAACACAAAAGCAGTTATAAATAAAAGAGTACTCAATCTAGATGATTTAAAAGTGCATAGCTCCAGTGGCTTCCTGATATCGGAAGGAAGACCGTTTCGGACTGCCACAGGAACACATTTGAAAGCGCTCGATGCAGTGACCGTCTTTGTTCGATGGCTAGCCAAAAGCTGCTGCTGCGAGGATAACCAAAGTTCGCGTGGTGGTGTTTTATGCTCCTTGAGGTTGCTATTGCGTAGATGCCGCTGCCAGCCACAGGAATGTGGAGTGGCTGTCACCGTATCGGATTGGGGGGTGAGCCCTGCGCAGGGGCTCGTGTGAGCATGAGAACAGATTTTATTTGTGTATACGTATGTATGTAGAACTTCTTTCGCACCGTACATAGCCAACCGTGCTCATCGCAGGTGCGGACAAAAATGTACGATTGGTGTTTCACCTCAGAGCAGTTTAATCAAACTGATTGTCAAATATAAGTGCTGAGCCAGCACCGCTGACACCTTGGGTTCGAATCCAGGCAGGCAGCTGTGACTAAACCGGGTTCTCAGGGCTCAGCAATTCGGTGGTGTCGATTCGGGCACCGGCCGCGAATATTTAAAATGCAACGTCGCCCATTTCAAATCGCGCTCCAATGAATTAGTCACGAATACCAAAAACTGAAATCGCCAAACCCGCGAATATCAAGGGTTTCTAGCATAGCGGTTTCCTCGCTTTTTTCTCAGCTGTCTCCGCATCCCAATGGTGCTCAAGCGAGCGTGGAGTGCTGTTCACCTCCACCGGTCGCTCTGAGCCAACGGGTGGAATTTCCACATTACTGGGGCAGGGGTCAGTCTATTAATGAGGCAGCCGCCCACTGTTGACTTCTCACAGTGGTAGGTCGCATCATCAGCCCCGGAGTTATAAAGGGCTGTCGGTTCCTGGCTGATATTTCAATTCGTGATCATGAGTTGAGAATGCTGGCAAGTCCACCTGGCTGCGTCTACAAATAGACAAAGTGTTCCCTTCGAAAACTCTTCAGTCTGGTTGTTACAAGCTGGGACGTGCCGTGGTGACGAGCTGTATGACCGACGTGTTTTGACAAGTCGCCGTCGGCGCTGCTGGGTGACGAAGCCGGGGGTTTCGGGGGTCAGGGTTTGCGGAAGTTGGGCTGTGGGAAGGGTCTGCTTCTGCTGCTTTATGCCGGGTCCCTGGTGGCACTAGAACAAAAATTCCCCCAAAAATACAGGAAGGAATTAAATCCAGCAGGCGCAGGCAGTGTGCCAGTATTGGGGCAAGGCTTGTTGTCGTAGGGCAATCCAAACAAAAAGACCCATATCCGGACAGGGGCTGGCACTCGGGCTCAAGAGAGAGGGGTGGATGTATGTACGTTGAACTTCTTTTGCACCGTCTGTAGGCAACTGCGCTAATCGGTGGTGCGGGGGTTTAGGAATGCAGTCATTGCCCCACAGTAAAGAATGGGGCACACGCAGGCCGGAGGCTTTCCCTGCACATTCGTGAAGAGTCCAATTCTACGAGAATGGACGCGGTTCATGCCTTGGCCTGAAGCGTTCCTTCATGCGAGTGTGTGTGTGTACGTGTATGTGTGTTCAGCTTCTTTTGCACCGTACGTAGCCAACCGTGCTAATCGGATTTGCAGGGGACAGACAACAAACCAAACACAACAAGCAGTTCTAAAGAAACGAGTTTTCAATCTTGATTTAAAAGTGCATGGCTCCAGTGGCTTCCTGCTATCGGAAGGAAGAGCATTCCAGACTGGCCGCGGGAGCGCATCTGAAAGCATGCGATGCGGTGACCGTCTTTGTTCGATGGCCAGCCAAAAGCCGCTGTTGCTGCTGCTTTGAGGATGGACCGGAGTTTGCATGACGATGGTTTATGCCCCTTGAGATCAGCAAGGCGTTGTGGTTCATTTGTGGCGAGCACTTTGTGAGTTTTGGCCAAAACGTCCCCCTGTGGGGCATGTAATTATCTATCTCTTCCCCCCCCACCCCCATTCAATGAATTTAAATCCAGGGTCATAAACTCATTCAACAATGAATCTTTTATGAATGTTTTTGTCTCGTTCGTGTAGTCTCACTTGTATCAGCCCTGTCCGTGATCTTGTTTGTTCTGCGTCATTAATTTAATGAGGCTAAATTGATGGTTTGAGTAGACTTTATAAAAAGCTTGCGTAACTGTTTCTCACACTTAGAATAATGAGAATTAATTATTTATTCAGGAGAGCTACGTTCAGTCCAAGGACTCGTTGTGCAGCAGGGTCCTGCCACATCAAGATGTGTTCGGTTAATGTGTTTACCGTGTGCTTGCCACTGTCCCACCACTCTCCCCAATTATATAAATATACAGGAAAACAAGTGACCTGCTCCTTCAGTAAATAGTCCTTTGTATTTAAAATTGATCCATAAACATAGGATTGCTCAAAGGCAAGGAAGGTCGAACGTTTTCGACTGACAGATGATCAAGAAATGGTTTATGTTACAGCTATAACGAATATGTTTACATATCTCGAGTACGGCTAAAATGAAAAAATATAAATGAAAATCAGCCACTGTGTGCATCTGGTTCTTCTGACACAGACAGAGTGCTCGGTGCAGATGAAGCGATACGATCCAGGTTTAATGAAAATTTAATTGAGATTTAGATTGACCGGATTACGTATATTTTTATCGTGCATCTGCAAAGCCATTGGCATATTTGGTGCTTATCAGTACTTGCTGTCCCAGCCGTAGGAGCAGTGGTTGCTAAACCATCGATGGAGCCATTTCGAATGAATATTCCTCCGTGTGTTGTGATCCATCACCCCGAGCCATGCCTCCTGGACAGGCATCATTGACCGCGACGACGATGCTTGAGCAGCGTCACCAGGTTGAGCGCAGGGCGGGCCCACGTGCGGTCCCATTCTGGCAGCAATTTCACTTTTACATTTCACTTTGAGTGTTTCCGTCCAAGTGGAGCGACGTCTCGTTGCAGTGGCACGGCGGACGGGCGGGTGGCCGAGTCGTCGTCGTCGTCACACGCTAACCCAACCGGACGTAGCTCTGCGTGGCACGCGAGGCCGGGCAGCGGTCGGGGAGAGTCGGTCGTGCGCCACGCTGGCACGGCTTAGCGGGGGGGGGGGCGGTGCCGATGGGTTTGTGCGCGTGACGTGCGCCACGCTGGCACGGCTTGGTGGGGGGGGCGGGGAGTGCCGCGGTGCCGATGGGTTTGTGCACGTGACGTGCGCGCGTCGCAGCTTTGGACTTGGCTGATGAAGACCGCTTGTCTGAACCGGATGTGCCTCACGGGCACTCGTGCGTGCACTTGCATGTCCCTCTGCGCGGTGCCGACGGCGCGCGGTGTTGCGAGCGCTGAGAACGCTCCAAAGGGATTCGTTTTTCACTTCACTGCCACTCGACAAAACCGAAAAAGAAACCCAATCGTGAATGTCCGGAGACACTCGTTGCCTCTGCGTGCGTTGTGTTACACGTTCAGGCCTCGGTAAGCGTAGTTAGGTCATAAGGCGGTCACTTTCACAGTCCGGGTAATACTACTGATAATAAAACTTTCATTTTAGATAGCGTCATTCATGCTAATAGAATCCCACAAAGGACCCAAATCCTCTATACAGCCGCTACCAAGCAAATGAAAACCCTACTAACTGAACAAAAAAGTTAAACTTATTCAGAATTGGCACCAAAACAAAAAGCACAGACATCAAAAAGTTCTCGCGACAAAGACACGAGTCCATAAGTCTCAACATCCCAGACCCACAGTCCCAACTTCCCAACAAAGCCAGGAAACTGTCACAGGAGGGAGGGGGGGGGCGGTAAGGTGCCCATTCAGAGCGTGTGCCGGTGGCCACTTTTGAAAACCAGATGATTATTTTCCACCTTCACTGTCTCCACCACCACCCCTCCCCCTCTCCACCGGCCACCACCACCAACACTCCCCATCTCCTCCGTGCCATCACCCTCCCTGTCTCCAGCATGCCATCACCATGACTAATGAACATTTCGGTTTAAAAGTTATATTTATATGGACAAAAAATGTGTACCTGCAATTATATCCTGATTGTGCTAAGTGGCATCACGTCATGAGACGAATAATCCATTCGGCTCTCTCGTGCAACCCTTGGTGTTGGACACCTGACCCACGGAAGTGGATCTCGCAGAGCTACCTCCCGGGGTCTTTTCAAATTTTGTACAAAAAGAAAAATAGAAAATTGTGCTTCGCAATCTTTTTAGATTTTTGTCACGACTTGTTGCGGCATGTTCCCCGCGTGTTGTCCGTCACCAGTTTACAGCGTGCGGCTCTTGCGCCATAATGGTCGCGGAAGGCAGGAAGTGCCGCGCTCCGTGATTTTCTAAACACCGCTACCCACGGAGCCTCTCTCCTGCATCCGGTGTCTTCGCCAATTAGCCCCCGAAATGTAATTACGCAATCATTATTTGTGGGCAATTTTGTTTAATGAATTGACATTATAATTATGAAAAGGAAATAATTGACCAAACATCGCCAATATAAATACTGCGACGCGTTGCAGCGAGTGGCACACGGATCATCATTCTTCACGGAACGGCGAGACGGTGGTTTCAAATACATCGTGGGGTTATAAATTGCGAGCGAGCGAACGGAAGTGGCTCCCAGAGGTCGCCCACCGAGCGGGGGGGGGCAGTGCCTTGCGGTCAGAGGTCACTGCCGAAGGAGCAGAGCATGGAGGTCGGGAGTTGGCCTCGCAACCGCTGCAGGATCCGTCAAGTAGAAGGAAGCAATGGCAGGCAGTATTCACTGGCATTGGCAAAGTCTGCTGGCATTACTGGGTTTGACCTCTGGAGGGTGGTTGGCTCGGCAAGAATAGGTCCGAACATTGGATTTGTTGTGAGGAGTAAGTGGTATAAAGCGGTATGCTGCACGATCCTCTGATTAGCCACGGTTGGCTACGTACGGTGGGAAAGAAAAAGAAGATGGGGTCCAGATTCACGCCGCGTTCCTGAGTTTTCTCCACCGTTGATATTGTGGAGATCTCATTTTGTCCAACAATATATGAAAGTGAGCAATGCCCAACTTGTGAATGGGGCCATACATTTTGTAGAAAGTAGCCGTTTTGACGGTTTAGATTAAGGAGTGTTGATGACGTTTTTAACAATTTCAATATCTTGGACAAATGGATAAAAAGAGCAAGATTTCGTTTTTGTTTCCCTCTAAAAAGTCCCGGCGAATGTGGGGCTTGCCTTAGGGGAGAGACCCTCGCGGATCATCTCGGGTGAGAGGCAGTGGAGGAGTCTGTAATTTATGCAGCCCTGCTTACCGGTGGAAACTTCCACTGGAGCCGCACGAGGTGAGAGTAAATCTCGAGTCGTGATCTCAACGCGCCCCGCTGCCCATCGCTAATCATTTCCTCGTGGTTCATTCATTAGGAGCGGCGTCGCCATTAACGGGCGCCGCTGTGGGGGGGGGCGGTGCCAGGAATCGCGAGGCCGGCGAGAGACCATGGGGGGTCAGCAGGTAACGGACGCTCTGATTCGTCGCTTAAAACCAATTCTTAAGCTAGCTATGTGCGTAACGAGTTGAACGCACAGTAACACGTATTTTTTATGAAAACATATTTACATTTTTTTTTATTCGTAACGCGCTGCGTGTAATTGGGTTCGTGTGACCTCTCCAGCCAAGAGAGGCGGCTGCATCCACTGCGTTGAAAACAACCGATTCTCGAATCGAACCATGTCCCCGAATTGTGACTATTTGTCAAATCGCGAGCCGGAGAATCGTCACCTGCAGGGGTGCATTAGCCAATGAAACTCTTTTAGTGACCGGGGTTGGAGTGGGTGGCGCAGAGGGTTGTTGCTGTGTCGGAGCACGTGGTCCAGCGCTCCTAGTTTAACTGGATTCTCCAGTGCGGTGATTTCATGGCCCTCAGCCAGTTGCCCATTAAATAACTGCATAAAAGATATGATGGAAAATTTAGTTTGCCTGTTCTTCTGTAGCCGCGAGGACAAAAACACGTCTGATGTTTGCCGTGCGGTGAGCTCCGTGGCAGCGGCGTGTGGGAGGGTGCCGCAGCAACCCAGTGTGGGTACGAGTCATGTGACTTAATCTTCCAAAGACTGCTGTGTGAACACAGGATGGTGCACTGCTAGCTGCGAGAGTTTAATGCGGAAAGCTCCCTGGTCTTCTGACGTGACACTGATGGCACAATTCGAGTAGAATTTGTAAAATTTCTGAATCACAAAATCGTACATTGTCAAATATTCCACATTTAAACACTCGGCCCTTGAAGTAGCAACGGGCTGCACTGTTGACAATAAACCACGCGCGTGTTTCCCCTGGCGAACGTCGGTGACGTCATTTTTGGATAAATGTTTCCCTCGGGCTTGTGTGCCGCAGTGCCACGATGGTGCAGATAGCCGGAGTGCCGGAGGTAGCCAGAGTCCCTGGAGCCGTGCTTGTGTGCCGTGTGCGGTGCCGTTGGGTTTTACTGTAATGAGTAAGGAAAGCTAAATCTAAATTGGGTTCCCGACAAACGACCGTTCGATTCGTCATGATACAGGTTCACAGTTTGGTTAAAACAATCGATCTTTTTATATTGTTCTTATAATAGTGAATTGTTGCGGCTCCAGTTGCTGCGGAGGTCACGTGAACCTGTCTAGAGGCCGTCAGCGCGGCGGAGGCATCACCTGAACCCTCGGTTCGGTTGTGACGAGCGGTTCAGGTAATTGAGGATCTCAAGTTACGGCAGCAGGCGAAACACCGTGTTTCCAAACCGCTGCGTTGACCCATGCCTGACCCCAAGCAAATTGGACGTGCCGCACATTATTTGTGAGCAAAATAGCTCGCCCGTTACCCGTGCCTATCTGGACCGGGGGAACAGCGGATCGTTAATCTACACAGATTCTGACCTGACTCTGGACGAGGGCTCTCAGCGGTCTAATCCCACGGCAGTTATTTTAAGTTATGTAACCATGTAAGCGTGGCATTTGGCCACTGTAACACGTTCTCCCGTTCAATTTGCGCAGCACGCGGTCGGAATATTAAACTCTGTAAGTGAATCCACTTGGATAGGAAACGCTGTTTTCCAAAACCTGAATGAAGAATTTCGTAAAGCAAAAATAAACATCGCAGCTGTGGATGGCAGCGGCTGATCATGCTGCTGCCAAGCCAAGGCGGGTGATTGAGGCGACGCCACATCCGTTGTGGATCCAGTCTGACGTGAGATGAACAGCTTATTTTTTTGAAGAAAAAAAATACTTTTGTCCAAAACAATGTAATTTTCTCCCATAATTTGTATTATCATTTCCATGACTGTCAAGACACACAGACAGACGTGCACAGACAGAACAACAGCCGCCATCCGCCACCCGCCACCTAAGTGGCGGTCACATCACCAGGGCGCCTGTGCCAGGCCAGGTGCACTTTGAGGCTACGTGAGGTGTGTCGAAGGTTCGCTGACAGGAGGTCACGGGACAGACCCAGGTGCCATGAATTGTTCTTGTACTGTTTGTTGTTGTAACCTTCCTACCCGCCCCTACTGGACATCTCTGAACAAGAGCTTTTAGAGCTCATCGGATTCCTCCATGAGAAATACATTTTCTGATTCTGATGATGATTCTGACTGAGATGACTGGCAGATGCACCAGCTTTGCCCCCTACTGTGCCAACTTGCTGCATTGTAGCCTCCTGGCGATCTTCTGGTTCTTGTGAGCGTCGCTCCTCTGCCCCCCGTTTTTGTTGCAGGGTGACTGCCACCAACTGCCCAGTAGCGTCCTTCATGAGCCTCCTCCATAGAGGCCGACCTTGACACAGCTGGTACCATTCTTGGGCAAGTCCACTCAGTTCCACATCCTGCTGTACCGCATCAGACCATCTCTTTTCTAGCAGGTGTCATGCCCGTTTTAGCCCCCTCTATCCGCCAAACAGAAGCTGCTTGAGCATGCGCTGGCTAGGCATGCGGGCTACATAACTCAGCCAACGCAGCCTTGCCTGCTGGAGGATCTTGCCGATGGGAATATGTAGAGATCTTTCAAGGATTTGTGAACTCTTTACACAATCCAGCCTGGTTAGGCAGGCCAGCCTGAATGTTTCTAACAGGTGCAGATGTTCCATTAGAGGGGTCCACGTTTCAACAAGCATAGAGAAGGGAGGGCATAACTGTGGCCGAGGAAGACCCGCCGTTTCGTGTGGAGCGACAGACCAGATAGTTTCCACACAGTTACGCAGCCGATGAAAATATGACGCCGTCTGACCTGGCGACCCGAGTTCGATTCCCGCTCACGGCCAACACCGGTGACGATTATCTGAACCGGTCTTGGGCCTCCCCTAGGTTGAATATGCCTCAAATGAGTACCTGGTGCAGTGTGTAAATATCGCCACTGGGGATACAAAGGCGGCCGGGCTTGGTGCTGGCCACCCCCACCCCCTTGTGTGCTGTGCTGGCCTTCATAGGTGCTTGCTAAAAGAACTTGCCCCCAGAGTCTGTTACAGGCTATACGGGGGATCTTTTTCGTCTTTGCATGTTTGTGCCGTTCTTGTGTAGTGCTGCCTACGTGACTGGACGCGCGTCTATTACTTGACTCGTACCGTCGGTATCGAGTGGTATCGATGCCAGGCTCGGAATGTGCTGGATGTTCATCCTGGGCGGAAAGGGACACCTGATTCTACGTGATACCTTTGACCTGGGTCACTTTTCTGCTGAACGCTAATGCACTTTCTCGTGCCGCCATGAAGCTGTAACCGTTTTACATGGAGCGTGTCCTCTGCACTGGCACGCCTATGCACATTGCAGCCGTGGTGTCGGCGCTGTTCCGCACAGCAACTGGGCTCCCCTTAGACTTTGAGTGGCACGGTTCCAAGACTGGTGAATTTCAGTCTTATTGTAAACACATAATTTCGCATTAGAAAGGGCAATTTGATTTATTTTTTGTCGGTGCAACAGAAGTCCATGATGAAAATGTCGGGAATGGTGTTTTTGACAACATCTGAGCAGGAAATCCCAGCATGCTTTGCAAAATAACTTTTATAACAAAGAAGATAATCATCTTTTGCATGCATATGGCGCTTAATGTCCTCAACTCCAAAGCGCCTTGCGTCCCATCTCAAACATTCGAAGAGCACCCTCAGTGGCAGCTGTCTCCGTGCAGCGCAAGGTTGACTCGCCACCAAGCCCGCAAGCGGGCATTCGTCTGCAGGAAGTTAGCGGAGGCATGTTTACATCGCTCGCCCGAGCAGCCGCTGGGCCCGGGGTCTTGAGAGCAGCAACCCAGCACGAGCGCGAAGCTGGTGGGGCGATGTTAACTACCTTGCCTGGTACGCATGAGGTCGAAGCTTCGATCCCGACACTGGCGCTGATATATTTGTAGTTTGCGTGTCTGTCTCTCTCTCTCTCTCTTCGTGGTCATATGGATTTGTCTCCGGGACCTCCGGGTTTTCCTTTCACATTTATAATCAACGTGCGTTTAGAGTATTTGGCTGCTATAAATGTCCATGTGATAAACCACTTCTCTGAGCTGTCATTTGTGGTCAGGTCGCTTCTGAAAAGAGACGTATAGCTGAGTAGGCCTTACCTGGTAAAATAAAAAGTTTTTTTTTAACAAGTGAAAACTCGGCTCTTGAATGGAATCGCGACCCCTGTGACCCCTGTGAGCCGAGTCTGGGAGGTTCAGGGGGGGGGGAGTTTGTTCTTCTGCTGCTGCCTATTGGCCACGGTCTCCATCTGCGACACGGCCTGACTCCTCCGTCCGCCCCGCGTGTTGCGTTGCGCGTGCCCCCACCCGCAGGATGTGCTGCTGCTGTACTACACCACGTGGTGCGGCCTCTGCTCCACGCTGAGCCACCGCTACCTGCAGCTGGCGTCACAGCTGCGGCACAACGGGCACCTGCGCATCGCCCGGTGAGCGGGCACGCACGCTGCGCCATCGGCGTCCCTCTCCCCACGCCACGGTTGGCTACGTACGGCACGAAAGAAGTTCTACATACTCGTGTACAGTTCGTTCTCCTGTAACGCTGGTAGTTGCGTTCCTGAACAACACCTCGTCGTGGAAAAATCACGTTGTCATAAATATTATGTTTTCTGGGGTTAGAGCAACAGTCCGCGATGACACGTGATATGTGTCGGTAGGCCGAACAAAGACCGAGGCACGTGGGTAGCATCTAGGAGCATCCAGCAGCATCCCAACGCCTTGCGTGATGCTACGCCGAGGCAGCCGTACGGCCGCTTATTCCTACTCGCGCTGTGACGTTGTTCAGTTCACTCGATCGCGTTCTACCCAGTTCGCATCCGCGTTGTAAAAAAACATGTTGCCTAATACATTCATAGCGTTACATCCAATTAGCTTTATGAACACAACACGCGGCGTTATAGGGGAGCAGGCTTCACATACATCTGCTGCTGCCTCCACTTGCGCAGTGTGGAGCCAGGTAGCTCAGTGGGCCCTTATCTGGTGAAATAAACAAATAGTTGTTTTAGTTTAGGTGTGCACACAAGAAAGGCGTCTCGAGCACTGTTTAGCTCTTCAGCTGCGCTCATTCCGTACCGCATTGTTTTTGAACATCGTACTCTGTCTGCAATCCTTTCTTGACCGAGTAATTATCTCAAACGCCCCGCGGTTCTGCCGCCAGCAGTCGTGCTGCTGCATGGGAGGTGCGGTGTAAATAATAAATGATGATGGCATTGTCGACGACGACGACGATGATGAACGGAGCGTGATGTTGGGCGCCGGCCGGCAGTGAGGTCATTTCACGGACAATTAAACTCTTTTTTTTTATTAAACCCCAGGCGTGTCTCGCTTAACGAGCGTTAGTTTTATTCCCTATACAACGAGCAATTTGAATTTAGCCCAATTTGTCCGCAAAAAAAAACAGCAAATGTTTGCGTAACGAGCATGGGGGACCGATCGATCAAATCTGTCCCGTGGCGGCCGGGGCGCACCAGCGGGCCTGCAGCTGTTTGTGTACCAGCTGTGCTGCGCTGGGAAAGCGCCGTGTGATTGGGGGGGGGGGGGGGGGTTGCGGGGAGGGCACTGTGCAATGGGTGGGCGGCGGGAGGGGTGGGGTGAGCGGTGGTACAGCGATTAGCGCGCAGCGCTACAAACCTGGCGGCCCGAGTTCGATTCCCTCTCACGGCAGCCAACACTGGTGACGATTATCTGAACCGGTCCTGGGCCTCTGCTGGGAAGACTCGGACTCAAATGAGTACCTGGTGTGGCGTGTAAACATCGCCACTGGGGAGACAAAGGTGGTGCTGGCCACCCACCCCTCGTGTACCGTACCGGCCGCCTTCATAGGTGCTCGCTAACAGCACTTGGCCCAACAGTCTGTTAAGGCTGTTGTCTTTGAGGGTGGGGGGGGGAGTTATATGTGCATGCTCCGAGAGAGAGCGAGAGAGGGCTGTGTGATTGAGTGGAGAGAGCGAGTGATTTCAACTATGTGGTTGTAATAAAGTGATATCATAGGTTATGGGGCGGGGGGGGGGGTCTTGCACTATGGTTCGTCATGTATGGTAAGCGTTAAATGTTGATGGTTTATTACTTAATTTTCAAATGATACGGTAAATTAAATTTGTCATGTTCCAATTTTGGGGCTAAAACGTAGCTGAGCTTTTAATGTGCGAGCGAGTCGATGGCAACACGACGCTCGCTTACCATGGAACGTTTCTCTCACGTGACGTTATTTAAAAAATTATAATTTTTATTTAAAACTATTATTATTACTACGCTTGTTTACCCAAGAAAGTCTCAGTCTCAAGACTCTTTAGTCACGAGGGTCCTGCCATGTTTGTAGCAGTAGGGGGCGATCTTGCTGCTGCGGTGTGTCATGCCATTTGAGTAATTTGCAAGTAAGATTTCAGCTTCTTGGGTCTTTTCGGTAAAGTCACGTAGAAGGGAAATAATAAAATAATTGATTTATTTCTATTATTTCCCTTCTACGTGACTTTACCGAAAGAACCAAGAATATGAATCCCTGCAGTCATGAAAGCTTTAAATCGAAATTTAATATTTCAGCATTAAACTAAAACTATTTTTTATTTTACTAGGTTAGGCGCTTTTTCAGAAGCGACCTGGGCTATCACTAATGATAGCTCAACGAAGTGGCTCGTCACCACGTGGTAATGTGTAGCAGCAGCCAAATACTCTTAAATGCACGTTTCTAGATGTGTACGGAGGTGACCAGAGAACCTGGAGGGACCCCCATGCAGAACGCGGTCAGGGGTCAGAGGTCATGGGTCAGAAACTCCGTACATTAAGGCGTCAGAGTCAGGAATTTATACCGTGTCAACCCACACGGTTTGACCCCGTATTCTTGTAAGGGAAATTGAGTTTTCAGGGCCATACGGCGTACAGCCGTTTCAATACGGGCAACAACAAAAAAAAGTGTCTTTGTTTGTGTCTCTCCCTTGTAATGGGACTTTGTAGGATGAACGTTGAGCTTTATAAGGGCACGGGGTGACCAATAAGGTCTGAATTGGTCTGTAATAAGGTAGGCACTGATAAGGAGTTGACGGGTATCTGAATGCAACGCTTGCTCTTCTTGCTGCGAGGTCAGAGCAGCACCGCTGCGCTGCCACCGTGCCGCCCTCGACGCAGGGCGTGGCGGAGATATTGGGGAGTTCCGCGCGTTGTGCCTTGGTGTTTTTCGCGTGCGTAGTGGCGTTGCATTGATGTGGTCGTGGCGGCGTTGTTGTTTGAAGTTGTTGTAGTTGATGATTATGTTCATGATGATGTTGTTGTTGTTGCGTTGCTGTCTGGCGTTGGCGTTGCTCTGCCGGTGCCACGATACCACGGCGCTGTCCCCATGCCGCGTTGTTGTGCTGTCGAGTTGTGACGTCGCCGCTTTTGTCTTGCAGAATCAACGGTGACACCAACGACCTGCCCTGGGAGTTTGTGGTAGAGCGGTATCCGACACTGCTGCTCTTTCCCGCACACAGGTACTCGCCTACCCCTACATGTACCGCACACACGGACACTCTCCTACCCCTACACGTACCGCACACACGGACACTCGCCTACCCCTACACACACACACTCTCCTACTCCTACACGTACCGCACACACGGACACTCTCCTACCCCTACACGTGCCGCACACACGGACACACGCCTACCCCTACACGTACCACACACACGGACACTCTCCTACCCCTACACGTACCACACACACAGACACTCCTACCCCGACAAGCACCACACACACACACACACTCTCCTACCCCTACACGTACCTCACACACGGACACTCTCCTACCCCTACACGTACCGCACACAGATACAGGGCAAGGCTGAACATCTCATGGTGATGCGTTACGCTATACGCAGACCAACAACGCACATCGTGTTGCAGCGCGTGGCCTGACCCCGTAGCCCTGACCCCGTACACCGTAACAAAGAAAGTAGGAAAGTTGAACCCCTTGCATTGATATGGTGACTCGGCCCAGGAATGCACTGCCTGGTGGATTGTGCCTTGTGCTCATGTGAACAAATCTTCCCACAATGCTATCGTTTATATAAAATATTCAGGAGTAATACTTTTTGATGATTGAACGGGGGTTGTTTATTATTCAATATGTATGTATGTTGAACTTCTTTCGCACCGTACGTAGCCCACCGTGCTAATCGGAGGTGCGGAGGAAGGACAACAAACTAAACACAAAAAACTGCTCTAAGAAATGAGTTTGCAATCGAGATTTAAAAGCGCATAGCTCCAGTGGCTCAGTAGTGTCGGAAGGAAGAGCGTTCCAGACGGCTGCAGAAGCGCATCTGCAAGCGCGCGATGCGGTGACCGTCTTTAGTTCATGGTCAGCCAAAATAGATACTTGTGTATTGGGTAACTATTCGTATGAATATAAAAATCTGGTCATCGGGACACATTCTGACGATGTAAGCAAGTGCAGTCTCCAACTCTTATCGTCCACGCTGTGTTTCTACCGGGGACTCCATTCACGTGCTATGAAGAAGGGCCGTTGCCAGAAATGTCGCCGATTTCTATGTCCTTTTAAGGTCACGTGCGCCGTGCGATTGACGATTGTGCCGAGTGGGTTGTCAAACGGAAGGGCGGGGCAGCCGCAGGCGGAGGAGACGGCCCCCGTATGGGGGCCCCGTGGCCCTTTTGTCCGGGGCCGTCCCACGGGAAGTGTGAGGCCTCGCTCACGAGAGGAGAGACTCCGCACTCGGGCGCCGCGGGGACGGAATACGGTGTCTACGTCGTAGATTTTACGAGCGTGACACCGTTTATATAAAATATATATATACCGCTGGTTGATATCACGATACGCCGAACTTTTGCCTTTCAAACAACAGGTTAATGGAACATAATGGCAGCATTTTCGTCTACTCTCACGGAATAGAATGGAAGGTGTCGATATTTTACTACTTATGGAAATATTGGTGTTTACAGAGAGAGCCTTTGAATATATTAGAAGAGGATGTGTGGATTCTGGGTGCTATCGGATGATGGACTGGCGTAGATACAATGAGTCATCCGCGGTAGAAGTGTTTTTTTTTATCTTTCCATAAGTTCATATGCAGATTTTCTCCCTGTAGCGTTTTAATCGGGTTTCCCCCGAAACAAAAAGGCGTTTGAGTTGTGGTGTGAGAGTGCCCTGAATGTGTAATCTAACCCATTGTGGTGCACTCGTCTGTGAATGTGAATAGGCCTTTTGAAAACAAGAGGCTCGGAGAGCAGTTGCTGCATTCCTGCATGTGTTAACGGGGCCACGTGGAATGCCAGTTGCTGTTTTGGGAAACTGTTATTATGCCAAACGTGTAGAGACGCACGCACACACGGTAACACCACGCGGGTCATCAAGCCGTACTTACCCCAGACCACCACCACCCGCCCACGTGGCCCGCGGCCTCCACCTCCGCGAGGCCTGTGGCGTGGACAAGACGGTGGCTAAGAACCCGGGCCACCCGAGTTTGATTCCCACTCACGACCCCAACACTCGGTGACGATTATCTGAACCGTTGCTGGGCTTTCCCTAGGTCGACTCTGCCTTAAATGAGTACCTGGTGCGGTGTGTAAACATCGCCACTGGGGAGACAAAGGGGCCGGGCGTGGTGCAGGCCACCCACCCCCTCGTGTGCCGTGCCGGCCTTCATAGGTGCTCGCTAACAGCACTTGCCCCAAGAGTGTTACAGGCTATATGGGGGATCTTTGGGGGGGGAGTTGTGTGTGCATGTTATCTGAACCGGTCCTAGGAGGAGGGAGAATGGGGCAGGATGTTGACCCAAGCAATCTTTTTTTTATTTCAATCTCGTGAGAATGGGCCTGGAAAATATTTGTAGGGGGGCCTCTTAGGAATTGATTTCCTGTTGGTCATCTCTCATCAGTACGGATTTTCTTAACTTGATCAGAGTTCGAAATTATTTGCCTTAACAAAAATCGTTTGCATTTCTGCGCCCAGTTTTATTAGAAGCGTTGTGGCCTTGCTGACGGTTCAGAACCATTACGCGGTTGTCCGTCAATGCAGGCAGCGGCTGGGCGCTAATATTAGAGAGCACTTTGCTTCTAACTGCAAGGTCCGCTACAATCGACCTGTCCGTGTCTCGACTACGCTCCGGCGTTTGCTTTCGTAAATCAACCTCGGCGATTTGCAAAACTTTACGTTGTCGGTACACTGCTGGATAACGGCCTCCCTGCTCGGCATCGGCCTTTGCAGTTTGTTTAACTGCACCACGCCGGTCAGTGTGCTGCCTTTTTGCGCTTCCAGATGCGCTTCTGCGGCCGTCTGGAACGCTCTTCCTTCCGATATTAGGAAGCCACTGGAGCTGTGCACTTTTCAATCATCATCTAGATTGAAAACTTATTTCTTGAGAACAGTTTTTTGTGTTTAGTTTGTTGTTCTTCCACCGCACCTACGATTAGCGCGGTTGGCTACGTACGGTGCGAAATAAGTTTAACATGCGCACAAGGGGAGCACTCAGGATCGGTTCAGATATCACTTGAGTTGCACGCTGCTTTGACCTATCAGTCCGCTCTCTGTGGTTCGTGGCTTTGCGGGTCACGGAAACCCTTTGTGTAATATAATAACACTTAAGACAGTGTTGGGGAGTAATATGTTACAAGTAATGCACAACTGTAATCGGATTACCAATGGCAGACAACGGTAATCCTGTGTAATCCTATCGTAGCATCTAATCAAGTTACCGTCACTGGGAATGTATCGATTGATTTTTACGACTTGTATGATTTTTTTATCATTAAAAAATGGTTTCCAATAGTCGGTAGCGTAGACCGTTGAGAGGACCACAGCAGCCGGTCTGTGTTTTGGTCTTGAGTCCGCGACCGCCACGCCTGATTCTCCCGCAAATGTTTTCTCCCGAGTGCCAACCAGCAAAACCTTCCTTTTTGTGTCGTTGTTCTGGATTAAGCAGCATTGCGCAAACCAGCACGTGCACCGCTCGCGTGCAATCGTCGCGGTTACCGAGGCTCTCCGAATACAACTTTGACCTCACTGCGGTGGACAATTGTGTACCATCGGCATGTTGATGGGACTTGATGCCGCGCGATGAGGTGACATCGGAGATCGGAGAGAGGCCCAGTTCCGAACCCACGCCGCCGCACAAGCTTACAACCAGAGAACGGTCAGACTGTCTGAGGTCAAATCAACCGAACATTAGTTAAGTTAATGTGAAGGCAGTCGTTGAAGGCAACGATGTAATTGGATGTTGTTAATTTTGAAATTTGAAATGTGGGACTACATTGATTCGCTTCTAAAACGTTCGGTTCTTGGGGATTGGAAACTCGAGTGTCCGCTGACACTGCAGCTGCTGCTGCTTCTGCGAGCTGGTCCCTGCACTGTGAGCGCTTGCCAAGTTTGTCACCGATCACCCAGCGCACGGACGCTAGGGGTTGGCAGATCGCGATGTCTGTGACGCTCCGAAAGCGACTGAACGGCGGTGGTGGCCAGGAGATGCGAGCGCGACAAGTGGGCTTGTGAACCCATCTGTGTGGACCTTTTAAGTATTTATCCTTTTGCAAGTCCAGACAGCTCATCAAAACAATGTTCCCGCACCTCCGGTTAGCCACGCTTAGCTACGTACGGTGCGAAAGAAGTTCAACCTACGTACAACCTTGCTCAATTCAACTCTTGTCCATCACAACCACTTTGATTGAAAACTACTTTTTATTTATTTAGCACTACTTTTTGTCTTTAGTTTGTTGTTTTTCCCCCCCCCCCCCCCCCCCCAATGATGCACCTTTTAAATAGCCACGGTTGGCGACTTACGGTGCGAAAAGTTCAGCAGCCGCAGCGACCGTGTTACAATAAAAACAAACCGCGCCGGTCAGAGGCTTGCGACAGCGTCTCCCCCGCAGCCTCGTGGAGAGAGGGAGGCTTTTTGCCGGGACGCCGAGCCAGGCCGAGCCGGCTGAACCGGCTGTGCCGCTGCTTTCTCAACGCTGGCCCCGGCGTTTGGGGTACGCAGCAAATTTGGTGGTTTCAGAAAAAAATGTTTTAAGTGAAAGAACAATTGTGTGTATCTGTTGGCAATTATCTAATTCGCAGTGTGTGTGCAACGAATGATCACATGTCGTGAAATCAAAACGTTGTTTACCCGAGTGTGCCAGTGTTTTCAATTGGCAAATTAGCATTGCTCACAGACCCATACCAGTGTTTAATAACAAAGAATTATTGCGTTGATGCTAGGCCAATAGAAAGTAGACCCGTACGCTGCAGGCAAATACAAAGATCCCCCGTATAGCCTTAACAGGCTGTAGGAGCAAGTGCTGTTAGTGAGCACCTATGAAGGCCGGCACGGCACACGAGGGGGTGGGTGGCCAGCACCACACCCGGCCGCCTTTGTTTCCCCAGTGGCGATGTTTACACATTGTACCAGATACGCAATTGAGGCTGAGTCGACCTCGGGGGAGGCCCAGGACTGGTTCAGATAATCGTCACCGGTGTTGGCCGTGAGCGGGAATCCAACCCGGGTCGCCAGGTTCATAGCGCAGCGCGCTGACCGCTGACACACATCCACGCGTATTCTTTAGTGAGACTTGTAATGTTATTCTGTTGGAGCAATTGCAGAGAGCAGGGCATTTGTCATTCTCGCAGCTATCCAGAGGTCACCGAGTTGACGGTTACGCCTTGCTGCATTGTCGTCTCTCCATTGCGATTGCAGACCGAGCCCAATACTGACGCTTGGTTGTTACTTTTAGTCCTGTGCATTCCATAGTTTTGCATCCAACTAGGACCCATGTTCTAAACAAGATCCTCGCCTTTAAACATCAGGCAACTCGCCCACATTCAGTTGAAGCAAGCCCGACTGCTGATGAGACACTGAATATCAAAACCGATCCAGTGTTTGCTTATTTTGAACCACTGCTGCTGAAAAGAGGCACTCCCAGAAGGGATGTGTATAGAACGCACGTATGATTAATCTGGCGAGACAAATATAGCAGTGAGGCATTGTCTGCTTATTTTGTGACTGATTTCGGGTTCAGTTGACCCAGGGGAGAGAGGCTCTGTGCACTATTGCACCACGCCACAACTTCCCACTCGCACTTCCTCGCTCGGGGTTTCACTCTTGGCGTTTGCCACAATCTCGAAATCACGGCGGTGCGTTGCCCACCTTGTTGTATGCACAGCCACTCGCTCGCTCAATGCGGCCGCTTCGTCACAGCGCAACGCGGCAACCGAATCTCGGCCGCAAATCCCACCGCCGCTGTAATCCGAGCGCGCTCCACTCTTATTGACGTCACGCGGCTCGCTCTCGGGATGATTGCAACGCGTCCCACGGCCTCCTCCCGGATCGCGTCTCGCCCGCCGAGGAGCCGTGCGTCCCGTGCGAGTGAATCACGGTGCCCACCGCGCTCGCCCCGCCCGAGTGAAATGCGCACCGCGCAAACGACTCGCACGAGCGGCGTTTGCGCTGTCCTCTCTCGCTCGCTGAAGAAGGCTCCGGGGGTTTCTTTGCAGCGTGGATTTTGGTTTTTGTTTCCGCCGAGCCGGGGATGGTAGACTGAAGACGGAAACATTCAGGAAAAGTGCATAGCTGCAGGACGCCACTGGAGCGATGATGTACTTTTACAACGTCTACATTGAAAACGAATTTCTTTAGAACTGCTTTTTGTGTGTCTAGTTTGTTGCCCTTCCCCCGCACCTCCGATTCACATGGTTGGCTCCTAACGGTCCGAAAGAAGTTCGATGTACATTGATACATACGTTGACGAAGCTTAACCATAGTGCTGCTGACGTGACAACCCTGGCGTTGTAAGAACGGCGCAACGTGTACGTATTTATTTAGCGACGTATTTTCCGCTTGGCGTGGTCTGCGATCTGGCACCGGCGAGTTGCCGTTGCTCGGTGTGGCCACTTACCGTAGACTTGGGTTTGATCCCGACCCTGACGCCTGCTGTATATTTGGAGTTTGCATGTCTCTCTCTCTCCCCGTTATAACGGTGCGTCTTTTCCGTTTATAACGGTGCACATTCCACATTATATTGGTGTGCGTTGTGTGAAAGTGTTCCCGAATGGAAGAGCCGCGTCATAGCAAACACGCGTTTTAGTGTGAACGCCACGCATGAAGCGGGGCCTTGTATCGTCACTTGGTTTGATATTCTCCTCTTCAATTATTTTCGCCGCTGGTTTTGACCGCGCGTTCCAAACCGAGTCACGGCGCCGCCGTGTTCCAACGAGGTTCCAGCAGCACTCCTCTCCAGCAGTCGAAATTCCACGTCACCATGGCAGAGGCCGGTTTCTCCATGAGACAACGGATGTTGAATTTAATTGACCCTGAAGGAATGATGGGCACAATCAGCCCCTGGCCATGCACGTAGATGCAGAAGACATAAATCTGCATATCCGCGCACATAAACGTCTGCTCCCAAACATACTCGACACACACACACACACTCGTGACACGGACGTGAGCGTAAATCTTTGCTTACTCCCACGTGTTTATTGTAGGGAAAACTAAATCGGATAAAAAGTGTTGAAAAGCTGTTGTTTAGTGGCTGGCAACACGTCAATCCACAGAACCCACAGCTAAACTCTCGCATAGCAGACTTCCCCTGCGGTCGACAGCGGCCCGGGGGAGTGGGGCACTGGGGGAGGGGTGGGCGGGGGGACTGGGTGGGATGGTGGACTCCACGACTCGACGTGGCGGAGAGTTCGGGGTGGGGTGAAGCGTGGGCATCTCGCGCAATTCGCCACCCGGCCTGGCCTGCCCCGCCAACCCCGCCAACCCCGCCCGCGTTTGTGATTACAGATAATTGGCAAAAGCTGTGGAGCAAAACGCGCGACGAGGGCAACGCCACGCGAGTCGTCACGTGGAGCGCGTTAGCGGGCGCGCTTGTTTTCCATTCGCAGGTCACGGGGTGAGAGTGAACTCGGCTTTTCGGCGAACGTCCCCTCGGCGGCCGATCGAGAGCCGTTCCATCGCCGCCGCCACCGCCTTACTCTCTGCCTTGCCCTTCCCCGTTTCCGCTTGCCCCGCGGCACGCCCCTCTCCCCGTGCCGTGGTCCCCACAGGAAGGACATGAGCGTGCGCTACCCGGACGAGGCGCCCTTCTCGCTGCCCGAGCTCGGCCGCTTCCTGGTGCGGCACGCGAGCGGGGCGGCGCGAGAGCAGCTCGCGGCCTCCACGTCCAGCGGGGAGCGGGAGGAGGAGCAGGAGCAGCAGGAGCAGCAGGAGGCACGGCCCCCACACGCACAGCTCCCACACGCACAGCTCGCAGCTCTCACCACTCGCACCACAATCACTCGCACCACTCTTATCACTCGTGTCGCACTCACTCACTCCACTCACTCCCACCACTCGGAGCACTTGCTCACTCACTTGCACCACACTCACACTCACTCGCTCACACAGCACTCGCCACTTACACTCGACAATGCTCGCAGCACTAGCTTGAAATACCACTCACTCTCTCACTCATGCACACTCACTCTCATTCACTCGCTCTCATTCACTCGCTCCCCCTCTCACACCCCGGGGATGTAATCTAGCGGACCTCCCACATGGACGTCGGTCATAAGTTAGGATTCCTCAACATGGCAGCGTCTCAAACTCTGGTCCTCGCTCCCCAGCACACGGCTTGGCCTCTGCACATGTCGAATGGAATACCGATGATGCGCTGGACCCACGAGACATCGTGCACGCTCGGTGACTGATGAACACGAGAAGCAGCGCAGCGGGGGGCCAGGGCAGTGCGGCCAGGGCAGCTTCTCACAGCCTCGAGCGCCCTGTGGCTGGCGGCTGATTAATCGAGCGGGGGGTGTGGGTGGGGGGGCGTTCACAATGTGCCACTATTCTGAATGCCTCGCAGGCCATTCTTGTTCCATTGCGCGTGCGGCGATCAGCGCGGCCATTATCCCGTCGGTGCTCACGGCTCTTTTTGCGTGCGCATAAATCACCGCCCCCTTTCTCCTCGAGCTGTTTAGACTCGGCTCAAATTGCTCCGTTTGGAAACCGCAAACAGGAGGTGAGCAACTCACGGGGGAACCGAAGCTGCTCGGCTTGGTGGCACGATAATTAATGTTTCATGATCTTCCCAGATCCCATCTCCCATTTCATCTCTCTCTCCGCCATGTACTCTGACCAAGGGCTTATATCTACACCCCCAGTGATCCTCCGCTCAATGGGAGGTTAATCCTTTTGCACTGTCCCTGTCATTTAAATTCAGGCTTTGGAATTCCTTCGTTTGTCTTTCCAGTGACTTCTGTTTTTCACCGCATTTCCATTCTCAATGAGTTGCCACAATCCAGGATCATGATTCGATGTTGGCAATACAGTCTCTGTGGCCTTCTGTGGTGGTAGCAATGGATTTAAATCGGCCAGGTAAGTAAGTGTGACGGGCAAGAGCGAGCCGGTCGCGACGTCAAATTCCGGTTGGATACTAATTCAGCCCATCATCTCTCCTGGGTCAACAAAATAGGTACTGCTCTCTGTTGGGAAGTAAACTAAAAACCACACTCAAACTCAACCATTTTCATTTCACCAGGTAAGGCCCACTGAGCTATTTACCTTTTTTCAGAAGCGACTTGGCTATCACAAATGATAGCTCAACGAAGTGGCTTGTCATGTTGAAGTTTATAGCAGCCAAATACAAACGCACGTTCATTCTGAATGTGGAGGGAAAAACCGGAGGCCTCGGAGAAAAATCTAAACTACAACGAGGAGAGACACGCCAACTCAGAATATACAACGGGGGTTGGGATCGAACCCAGGACCTCCTGTATACCAGGCGAGGTCGTTGACATCTCCTAGCCACCGTGGCGCCCCTCTCGCCATCGTGACAGTGATCGTCCTGTGGATGGACTCATCTCTGCCATAATAGGGGATGTGGAATTTCCAGCACTGGCTCAGTGCTGTAAACAGGACATCACCAGAGCAGGAAATCTCCGCTGAAATCCATTGGCACCTCTGCGGCAGCACCCAAAGCCTCCCAAACCGTGCGTGGCCCAGCCTCGCCGCTCTCCTGGACATTACCAAGCCCTAACCTCCCCCAGCCACTTAAAAGGAAGACGCAATCCAAGATGCAGGGAGAGCCTTCGTCGTTTCTTGGGCTGCAGGTCGCCCCCGCACCATGGAACACACACACGCACACAGGCCAGCGCATTGCACCGAGCTGAGCGATCACTGCAGAACATGGGAGACAGCAACGCTTAGAATGGCAACCGCAGTGTTTGCTTCATTAATAATGAGAATGGGGAGAGACGGGGGCACCCTGAGGTCCTTGCAAGGGCTGCGGCCTGTGCCAGTCACGGAATCTGGCGTCCGACCGTCTCCAACCGCGACTCTCCGTGTTGTCGCCCCCCCCCCCCCCGCCCCCCCGCAGGCCGAGCTGCACCAGCAGCAGCGCGAGGCCGGGCGCCTGCGCGAGTCGGCGCGGGCGCTCGCGGCGACAGAGTCCCAGCTGCGAGGCCGCGTGTCGGCGCTGCGGCGCGAGCGTGGCCGCCTGCGGCGCGACGTGCGCCACCTGGGCCGGGCGGCGCAGCGGCTGCGGCAACGCTGGGGTGGGCTGCGGGGCCACGGAGACCTCCACGGAGGGGACGCGGCGCTGGCGTTCCAGAGCGCCGTGCGGGCCCTGTCGGCCGAGAACTCGGTCCTCAAGCTCTACATCGCCGCCCTGGAGAGGAAGGTGACCGCCCTTCTTGCTCGGCAGCAGCAGCAGGAAGGCGATCGGCGGCAGAACAAACGGCAGCACTTTCACGAACATTACCAGCGGCATCAACGGCAGCTGCAGCAGCAGCAGCAGCAGCAGCAACGAAAAGAGCTGCAGAAACCCCAGCAGCAGGTGCCGCGTGGGCAGGACGAACATCGCAATCATTACGAACGGCGTTGGCAGGAAATTAAAGATCGGCAAGAAGATCGGCAGGAACACTGCCGCAGCCGACACGAGCAGCAGCTGCAGCAGGAGGAGCAGGGGGAGCAGGACGCTTGCGAGTCACGGGACGGCGACCCTGGCGAGCGGCGTGGGTCTTTGCTCGGCTCGATGGACGGAGACACCGCCGGGCAGTGCGGCGCTGAGGATTTTGGGAGCGCGCAGAGAAGTGTCGAGCCACTGGACGGCGCTTGAATGTGTCAAAGGGTTCGGAGTGCACGCGCGAGGTCGGGGAATAACTGCTCCTCTGTGGCGGCAGCAGGAAGTCTGTAATTAGCAAACAGGGTTGGCGTCTGTTCATTGCCGTAATGAAGTAATGATCATTTACAGAAAGGGGCCCCATTGAGTCGATGGGGCATAATGCTAATTTATGTGGCCGATTAAACGGATGCCTTAACTGTTTTTTATTTATACATTTTCTTTAAAGTCCTCAGTTTTATGAGCAAATGACGATTATCTTAATTGGTCCTGGGCCTCCCCTATGCTGTCTTAACCTCATGAGTACCTGGTGAGGTGTGTAAACATCACCACTGGGGAGACAAAGGTGGTCAGGCGTGGTGCTGGCCACCCACCCGCTAGTGTGCCGTGCCTTGATAGGTGCTCGCGAACAGCACTTTCCCCAAAAGTCTGAGGCTATACAGGGGGTTTTCGTTGTGTATGCACACAGAGTGAAGCAGCTTCAAGTGGACCAGTTCCCAAAGGGCACACGCATGACGCAAATATCCCGTCTTGACTCACAATTTAATTCCAGATCAATTGCAAGGTGCGTCACGCCGGTGTGCAAATCCTCCATGGACCACTCTGGCCATCTCCCGCGGGGCCTCTCTCTCCTCGTTAACTCTGCTCCAGCAATTATCAGGAGCTTCCCAGCGGTGGGATGTTGTTCCTGCTGCTGCTGCTGGAATTCCCACGCCCCTGTTGCCCGCGCCCTGCCAACGATGTCCAAGCTGAAGACCTTCCAGAGTTTCTCTGCCTTTGTGCTGTATGGCAATTGACCTCAAATCACTGCTGCTGCCCCAACTGCACACCTACCCACCCACCCCTCCTAATCACTCACATTCTGCCTGGTACCACCTCCAGCTCTGTACAGCCAGTAGTGCATATGCAGTTTCATTGACACTACAAATGCAAATTTCGCTGTGTAAACACGAGGGGAAGGACTTCTGTGCTTGACTCGTTAGGCACGCAAGGCCCACACCATGCCCCCCCCTCCCCAAGCCGGGTGGGGCAGAAGGAAACATTCCACAAGGCCCAGCTCGCGAGTTGTGGCACAGCTAAGGGACCCCCCGCAGGAGGACGCAACTCCAGCGTGCCAAGGTTGAGTCGTCGAGATTTGTTTATCAAAATCTTTCGAGAAAGGCAAACACTGCAGTAAGGATGGGGAGGTGTTTTTTTTCATGTTTAAACCGTTTTCTTTTTGTCAAAGGGGTTGGGGGCAACTATTAGTTGCTAACTCCAATTCCTGCAACTGCACACCACAGCCTGTGGTGCTAATCCACCCTGATGTTTAAAAACTTTTTTTCTGCTTCTTACTCGAAGCCATACTTTACAGAAGGGGACAAGGTTCCAAGATGTTGATTCAGGGAATTGTGCAGAATAAAATAATTACACAAGCCAGTTTGACGGTACTTGGGGATTTTATTTCATAATTACAGATCATAAAACAAGTTCATTGCCTCAAAAGCAATGGCCAGCCTCCGTCTCGCGTGACCCTTTATTGCTAAAAGTCTTCAGTGGACGCTCCATTCACATGGCCCCGGCAACGGCATTCAGAGCACAACAACGACTTGCACACGAGCCACGTGACAAGTCACAGGTGGAGTCAAGCAGCTCCAGTGCTGCCCCTGTCGCCCGCCCTTCAAATGCTGGCTTCTGAACGCCACTTCCGGGCAGATTCCTCGCGGGGACGACAGGGACGGACACAATCACAGCCAAGCTCGACCACCCAAATCGGATTCATCCACTCAGATTTGTCCCCAGAAACCGTGCGGCAGTCTCGAGATTCGTCCGCCCCGTTCAATTATTTACGCGAGCAACATGCACAGATTCATGCATGCAAAAAGTGATTTTTCCATTCGAGACACGTCCAGCTAATAACATGCCCCCCCCCGCAGCCATCACGAGACTGCCTCACACATGCACAAGTGTGACAAACAAATCGTTCACTAGAACTTGAATGGCGAGTGCCGAAGTGTTACGACTTGACTCCCATCTCTACAGCATGGACAACTTCATGCACAACAACTTACAAGCATTGAAGGGTCTGAGACACATTTTGTATACAACAGATGCTCGGATCAAGCAGCCCTCAAGCAGGCATTTCCCCTGAACATCCACTTTAGCCGCGGATACAGTCGCGGCGAGTTTGCGAATTGTTAACCAACCAAGCAGTCACCTTAAAAAGCAATGACCTCGAGCTCTACGCTGTGCGCGTGCCGCGTGGGTTAATGTTCGTTCTTTACACACAACGGATCTCATTACAACAAAACGAGTTTATAATACGCTACCTTATGCCCATCACATGCACCGCTTTCAAATTCGCTGGTTAAGACTGGAAACCGAAACCCATGATATCCCAGTCCAGCAACGAGGTTCTATTGAACGATTCGACCAGCATGCGTCCACGCAGGCCAATCCAGGTTCACAGGAAGCACAACAGGGACTCGGTGTAACACAGCGTGCATTCAAACAGAACCCACATTTTTTCCCCCATCGAAGCTACTTGAGATAAGTGACCAAACAGAATGTACGCAACAAGTCTCCGTGAATGCCAAGTGGTCGTCCTTAACCACTCTTCGCATCAGGTGCGACTTTCAATGTCAACCCACCAACGCCAGGAGTGGCCGCCTCCCATTGCCACGCCTCCAGAGCAGAGGCTGCACACATTTCTGAGCCGTGCCATTCATTCTCAGGTGGCACCAATGTGTGGGCTGACCCAAGGACGGAAGCCAATGGGGTGAGGGGCAAGTGAATGGGGGGTGGGAGGGGAGTGGAAATAAAAAGCCGAATTTAACATTAAATGCCAGTGGCGGCTCTTGTCTGTTCGGGCACCGCACCATGATCCCAGCAACCCGAGTTCTGTTCCTGGCCACAGCTGACAGTGACGGGCGATATCCGAACCAGTTCTCCAACTCTCACCAACCAGCCCTGATCAGCGTGGTGAAGTATGGTCAAACAACCCACATTACCCAATTAGCAAAACGGGTTTCAGCTGAAACTTGGGCCACTGTGAATCCAAGCGCAACCCCGGGTGTTCAGCAAGCAGGAGGCTGGCGTGCTGGTTCACGTGGGCAGGCGGGCGTGCCTGCCTACAGATCCTGGTGTTGCCCCATCTGAATCGGATTTCTAAACTTATCTACAGATCGCATCGGTCAAATCCTATTTTTTTTATTCCAAAAAAAATTTCGCACAAAGCACTCGCAACGTGCGGACGAAGAGGTCGTGGTAGACGACGCCGGCCCACCGCCACCCCCATTCACAGTCACATGGTTATCGTTGTAAACGTGAGGGCAAAGCAAACCACAACCGCGGCACCACCACTCCCCTGCAGTGGGCGGTTGGGGGGGCAGGGGTGGCCAGCGGGTCAAGGTCGGAGCGATTCACATTTTAGATCCCGAGTCGTCAGGCGAGACGCTCGTTAGCGGCCTGTGTATTAAAAAAATCGGGGCCGTTACAGTTAGTGGGGGGGGGGGATACCACAGGAGCGAACATAAAAATAACCTCGCGTTGCTGACCCAGCCTGATGGGGTTCGCGGTGAGGCCCAGCGGAGCCAACTGCCGTGACCTACTCTGAAAGGCCGGGTCAGTGACCACGGCCTGAATGGGTGGCCTTCACCCCCCCCCCCCCTGCACTGCACGCACTAATTAAGAATGAAAACGATGAAAGTCCGCACCAATATTTCGCAGGTTGACAATGCAAACAAGGCTCGCGCGTACCTTACCCTTGCAGATAAATCGATTGTTTTTTCCTCCCCCCCCCCCCCTCGCATTTCACCAGCTGCCCACTTTGTCAATGACGATGCTCGCGCTGCGAAACGTATTTGCTTCTCTCTGCGGCACGGAGGCGCAGCGATCGACGTGGGAGGGGGGGGGGTTACTGTGAAGCAGCGTACACGAGTTCACTCTTGCACACTACATCCTGACAGCCAACTGAACCATCAACAGGAATTTTAAGGGTGACTCGCGATGATTCATCCTGGGACCGGACACATTCGTTCTCTTGAATGCACTTTTACATGTGCTTCATTTCCCTGATCAATTCATGCAGCGTCATCAATAGTCCGAAATGTGTTTGTCCATTAATCCATTTGTGAAAGACGGTAGCTCGGTACAAGATACGAAAAAAAGTATCATTATTTTTTTTTTACTTACGACACAGCACGATGTGAAATGATTGCACGGTTATTTTCCATTTACTACGCACACTCACAAGTGGTATTCAAAAAAACAAATTGTCAGTTTCTCAGGGACTTACAACACTGGCTCCGGAAACCTCGCAGACCCTGTAAAGAAATCAACAATTGCGCTCTGAAGGGCATCATGGAAAACTGGCGCTCGTTGCTCAGCCTGGTCCGGGCTTCTGCGGTTGCGATCCCTGTGAAGGTCGCGTCCCATTGCGACCGCCTACAACCACTGGAGTCCCACCCCCCCTCATTGGCGTAGCCGCGCTGGCTTTTCCCATCCGACCCCGCAGCGTTAACGTGCTAAGAGAAGCCGTTGGACCATCCGCTGGGCGACCATCGCGCGCAGGCTGTGTCGCGCATACACCTCGGCCCAATTTGTGTGCAAATCCCACAGACTATTCGCTATTAATGTTACGGCAACGACATTAAACACTGGCACACACTTTTTTTTGTATGCGAACACCGACACTTTTAGTAGCAACATCAACACTAACGACAACACCACAAGCAACACCAACACCACCGCAACATGGCGCTACGCCTACCTCTGCCAACGCAAATAAAAATGCACCCGTCAAAATGTACACACGCGCGTGCGAGGCGCAGGCAAGATGGAGTGGCATGCACAGCGCCCTCTCAGTTCTGATCTCGTCGATTGCTCGCAGCCTTGCGAGGCTTCCCCCCCCCAACAGCTCAACCATGAGTCCACCCCCCCATCACCCCATCACCCCATCACCCCCCCACATCACCCCATCGCCCATCCGGCCTCTTCAGCTCTTGACGCCGTTGGCGACGAGCGTCGTCTTGGAGGCGGAGCGCGGGGGACCTTCTCCGTGGCCCTCTCCGGGCGCCGGGGCCCCCGGCCCCCGCAGGAAGGGCTCCTTGCGCGTCACGTAGCCGCCGTCGCCGCCCACGATGCTCTCCTCGTCCTCGGCCGGCTCGGCGCGCTGGACACAGGCGCAGGCAGCACCAGCAGCCGAGCAGCAGCGTGCCGAGCGCCGCCACAGCGATGAGGATCACAATCACCGTCACGACGCCCGTTGTGGGGCTGTGGTCCAGCACCGTCATGGCTCTCTGGTGCGAGTGCTACGGACTCCCGCGGGCGTCCGCTTCTCGGTTGCAAGACCCTCGGTCGCTCGTTCCTCTTTGCTCCGAGCCTGCGCACGACGACAACAACAGCAGCAGCAGCAACGTGTTTAGTGCGGGAGCAGTGTGGGGGGCGGCGTCACGCACCCCCCCCAAGGTCAACCCAGAAGGGTCCCTTCAATCCAGGAGGCGGAGGGCCCTTCCCTTGGCCTCCTCCTCCCGGCACAGACAAACAGCAAGCTTGGTGGGCACAGTCAACCAACGGGAAGCGAAACGCACGAAGGCCCAGATTGCCACAGTTGGCGCTCCTGCGTCTCGGATAAAGGCTTCGGTGTCTCGCAGAGCGGCGAGCGGACACTACTGGGGGCGACGGCGCAGCGGCAGTTTCGTGGCTGCTGCAGTTCTGGGGGGTCCCGTACTTCACCCCGAGCTGGTGGCACTGCGGACAAAGGTTCAACCGAGATTGGAAAGTGTCCCGTTGAAATTCACACTGGGGGCCGACTCGGCGCATCAGCTTTGAAGTGAGTTTATACAAGTGGCACCACTTGTCGGGAATTCAACAGCCGCCATCTTGTGGACAAGGCTGGACCCCCAAAAACCACAAGAATGGAATTGTCACCGCAGGCATCGGGCTTGCAGCAGTAATGATGTTTTTTAAAAATGTTTAATAATAAGACAGTTCTTCCAAATTACCACTTCCATGACCCCCACAGCCACTACCACAAGGAACAGGTGTATTAGCGTGAGCAAAACCCACACTGCTTTGTATAAAACCCGAATGACCGGCAATCTACATCTTAGGTTTCGGCCACATCACGATTGGTCAACTAAATATGTACACGCATGCAAATCGCCACATTCTAAATAATCAATTGGAAACATCTTTACTCAATCCGTGTTGGATTACATTGTCAACCGACAGTGACTGGGAGGCATTTTTGTTTGCCAAGCCTCAATAATTTACGGGGATTAAAGAGGTAGTGATTACAAGGGGTGGCCTGAATATCACATTTTAC